GGGGACCCAGTGTGTTGCCGCTCCCCCCACGCCGCCGCCCGAGAGCGCTGCGCCGGCCGTTGGCGTGCGGGGGGAGGAGAGCGCGTCGGCGACCGCGGGGGGTAGAGGCGGTGGTACGAAGGCGGCGGCGAGTGCGATGTCGGCGTACGTGAACGGGGCGGCGGGGGTAAGAGGCGAGGTGAGCGGTAGTGGTGGTGGGACCGGGGGGGGGGGGGTCCGCGGAATTGTTAGCAAAGGGTCCGTTTGTATCGCAAGGTTGTATATATCGACGTCCTGGTTGCAAGGGGGCACGGCAGACGGCAGCGACTGTCGTCGTGGCAAATAATTTTGTTTTTCGTCCTACGTCGGCCTGTGGCATGTCTTGAACTAGATGCACCAGTGGGTATGGTTGGAGTTATCGATCGATCGGAGTTTTTTCGGTCGTGCTGTTCCCAAGACGACGTGGTATTGTAAACCTCACGTATGCGTTCGAACGGGGTTCTACTTCTCCTTGAACCACCCAGTCCCATGGCATGCGGGGATAGCCCTGGTCGTTCCTGCCTCCCGGAGAATCTCCGCGTCCTTACCCCCGCATCAAACGCTTATCCGTGCTACTTGGTATTGTACTTTCTGCAGAGACCCTCGTTGCTGGCGATTATGGTGACCGTGTTTGACGAGGCCTTCGACAGAGGGGGCTCCGCGGAACTGAGTACTTCAATGGGGGTCGTTTCGCGAGGGGCTCCGTCGTTGGGCGGCGGCGCGAAGGGGGAGGAGGGCTCAGTTGACTCTCGGGTCGATCTGGCGCCCTTGTTGGTGAGCGCCTGTTTAGAGGTTGATATTGTCGTCGTAGTTGTGGGTTATTGTTACTGTTGCGGTTGCTGTTGTTGTCGTTGTTACTGTTGATGATGCTGTCGTTGTTGTTATGTTGTTGCTGTTGTCAATGTTGTGACTGTTGTCTTTGTTGTTCCCAGCGGTGACTGCTGTGCATTCTACGCCATACTAAATATCGCCGCAGAAGTGATGATGCTTATGGCTTCGAATGACCCCTCTCCCTATCTCGCTCCTATCTGCCAACCTCCTCAACGCACCCGTCCTGCTCCCATACAGCGCCACGCACACCCCTACCGAAGCCGGCCGCCTGCCCGGCTGCACCACTGGGCGGCTCAATGCATCCTGAGGGGCATCCGCCCGGTGCCAGACGCGTCGCCATTGGGGGACGCCGACGACGCCGACGGTTTCGACCACCGCGGCAGGCGTTCAAGCGGGCGTGGCAGTTTCACCTCCGGGGCGCGAGGAGGAACGTCGGCACCAGTGACCCCGTCGCGGCCTCGCTCGCAGCCGCCTCCGCCGTCTGCAGACCACCCGCCGGCGGCGGCAGCGCTGGCGACGCGGCCGGCATCATCATTGCCCCCCCCACCCGTGCCTCTGTCGCCACCAAGAGCGGCAACAACAACGGCGAGTTCTCGTGTTGTGTCGCCGTCGAGAGCCCCGCGAGCGGTCTTTCCCAGGCCGGGCGCGACGGCGGCGGCGGCGTCGGCGGCGGGGGGCCCGCGGGTGGTTTCCCCGTCATCCTCCCCCCCCCCGGGGCCCCCGAAATTGAGCACGGCCGCGGGAGCGAGCAGCCCGACGGCAACAAGGAAGGAAGGTCCCAGCGGTGATGCCGTGGCGGTGGCGGATCAGGCGTTAGCCGAGAGCGTGGACAGCCCGGCGGTGGCGGCGGCGGCGGCAGCGGTGGAACCTGCTCAGGCAGGGTTCGCGTCGTTCCCAGCGCCGACGACGCCTTCTGGCGACCCGCCGGCCTTCGACGGCGAAGAAGACGATGACTTCGTCTGGGGGGAAGCGGCCGCGGCGCCGACCCCCGAGATGCCTCGACATTCACCCCCGCGGGTGCCCCTGACCCCGCCCGCGGCAGGCGGAGCGAGTGGCACGGACAGCGCTCACGACGGCGTAGGTGATGGCGCGCCACCCCCTCCTAGCGATGGTGGGGATGGTAATGGCGGAGGTGCGGATGATGGAGACGGCGGTGGCGGCGGCGACGGCGGCGATTGCAGCGATGACGCCTTCGAAACCTTCCAGTCGCCACCGCCTCCACCCGACAGTGATGGTGGCGGTGGTGTTGTTGCTGTTAGCGGAGATGCAGATGACGGCGACGACGGAGACTGGAGCGATGACCCTTTCGACACCTTCCAGTCGGCGCCACCGGCCGCCCCTGCACCTCTCGCGAGCCCGCCCCCGGCGCCGCAGCCAACGCTGTTGGAGCCAACCCGCCCCGCTGCCGCCGCTGCCGCTGAGAGGTCGCCGTCCTCGCCGCCGCCCCCCCCGACGGAAACATCGACGTGGAACCTGGACTTTTTAATGGGGGCACCGGCGAAGGGGGGCGGTGGCGGTGGCGGTGGCGATGGGAGCGAGGGTCGTCTGTCGCCTTTGCCTGGGGGCGCCGCAGGGGCGTCTCCTGTGGGAGGGGAGGGGGTGCAGTCTGGCAAGCCGTTGGACCTGGTCAGGTGAGAGCTGGTTGTGGTTGGTGTTGCTGCTGTTGTGTTTTTGGTGTGGATGTCGTTGGTGGTTCTGTCAACGATGTGTTGCTTTTTTGTTTGTCGGCGTTGTTGCAGGGTTATTCGTTGCCGTGTATGTACTGCTGTACATAGGAGAGCGGGGACTTTTTCAAGAGATTTAGCGCAAAATGGCGATGAACGCCTGTAGAGAAACACGTCTTGTACCTCCTGGACCCGGCATCGACCTCTCTCTCGTTCCCCCCCTCCCCCCCCCACACGCCCTTTCCCCCCGGTGCCGGCCGGTTTCCTCGCGCTACAGCCAAGCCCTGGCCGGCTTCGGCATCGCCAGCACCACGCCGGCAGGCCCCTCACAGCATCCTGAGGAAGGCGACCGGGTTGACGCCGAATCATTCGGGGCCTTCTCGGCCGGGGCTCTTGTTGCTAGTAGTGGTAGTCGTGGTGACCGTGACCACCCCGTAGGGGAATCTAACAGCGGCGGTGGCGGCGGTTACGGTGGGGGAGAAAGGGGACGCGTCGGGAGCGTGGAGGTCTCAGACTTGCTTCGCGCCGCTAGGTTAAGAGGGGGCGGGAGGCGATCGTCGCGGCCCATGGTGAGAGAGAATGGCTTCTTTTTGGTGCGTTCTTGATGTATGGTGCGGGGAAGGGCCAAGGAGAGACGTAGGTATACAAATGCTCTTCCTCCTCAAGCAAGCGACCCCCGATCGGGTGTTCGTTTAGTTGCATTGTTCTTGCGTTATGTTTGGCTTGGGTGGGACATGTCGAGCTTGCTTTGCGGAAGGTAGGCGTCACGGCCAATGGTGAGAGGGAGAGAAGATGGCTGTGGAAAGTGTGCACCGCCAGAACCCCCCCCTTCCGCGCTCGCGCTCGCCATCCCACCTTGCCCATAAGTCGGCCGTGGCTTAACGATGATCGAAAAGAGGATTAATCGGCTCCGTTGGCCGAGGACAAAAATAGTTTAATTTTGAACATTCTTGACTTTGAAAATAGAAGTTCCCGGGAGTTTTTTTATTGTTGTGGACATCAAATTAGTGCCCTGCTGGACCCAGATAAGGGTTTTCGAGTTTGTCTTCCGCCAATCAAACGTCGATTTACATTTTTCTTATACAGATTTTTCGAGCCTTGTTAAGCAACACTAAATTGGGCTTGAATTTATACTCTTGCGTCGCTTCTGTGATTTGTTTTAGATAAATTTATGCGGGCAGCGCATCTCTGCTGCCGTTTGTACTGGGCATAAACGTCGAGTTCCCATTTCTCCGTCCGTGATTTGTTTTGTTATGCAGCAACCGCTCTCTGCCGCCTTGGCCTTAACGCCGTTTTGTCCTGTCCCTGTCTGTGTGATTTGTTTCGTTTTGCAGGGGCCGCTTTCTACCGAAGCCCAGGCGAGACTTGCAGGCTTGCCGGACTTGTCGTACATGCTGTCCCAGAGGATACGGTTCCCCATGCGGGCGGCCGCGCCGGTGCCGGCGGCGGTCACCGGGAAAGCTTTGCTTTAGGGATTGAATTGTGGCATGGTGAAAGTATTGTTCTCTTGCAGTTTTTGTCCGGTTGCCGCTTGGGAAGCTTTGCTTCGTGGGGTTGAATTGTGGCATGGTGAAAAATATCGTTCTCTTGTAGTTTTTGTGCGGTTGCCGCTGGGGAAGCTTTGCTTCGTGGGGTTGAATTGTGGCATGGTGATGGGTAGAGAGAGATCGGAACGGTTTTCAATGTGAAGACAACAACAACAACATGGTGAAAAATATTGTTCTCTTGTAGTTTTTGTGCGGTTGCCGCTGGGGAACCTTTGCTTTAGGGATTGAATATTGTTGTTGGTTGTTGTTGTTGTTGTTGCTGTCCTCCTTACATCGCGGCATGGCAACAATACTGACATAGTAGCAACAGCAATATTGTCCGCTTGGCCTTTGGGGAAGCATTGCTTCATGGGGTTGATGTGTGGCATTACAAAATATGATGGCAGTAATTTAGTTGTTCTCCCTGGTGAGAAAGCATTGCGTTAGGGATTCGTTATTAGCGTGGCAATAACAATACGTCCTCTGTGCCGGCGTACAAGGCCGATACGGATGCATGTACCGCAATGTAAGCCCGGTAGGCGCGTATGAGTGTGCGTGGGTGGTCGTGGTGTGTAAAGACCGTTGAATCACGTGCAATACCGACGGGAAAAACAAACGTTCTTGCCAACATTGTTGAACCGGTTTCCGCTGAGGGGGTGGGAGTGACGCGGACTGAAGACGGGAAAAGAAATGCATGAGAGGGAAGGAGTACGCTGCAGTTTCAAGTGAATCGCGAGTACTGCTCTGTCGGAGCTTTAGATAGAGAAGCAACTACTGCCCGACACGCAGCACAGCAGCCTGAGAGAAAGCCTGCGACTGAAGGACTATTTATGTTGTTGCGTTAAGATCCCTCTATTATTCTACATGGTTGTAAGCCTCCCAAACGTCTTTCGAGGGCGATTGAGTCCCAAATATGTTTTTGGTAGTATCGCAACAAGTCCGCGGCCGCGCGGATACCGGCCACAGCCCTAAGCCTGTGTTTGGCATTGATTATGTGGCATGGTTGCGTGGTGTCAGAGCCGTGAGCCGTAGGGGTGCCGTGGATGTCTGTGTGTGTGTGGGGGGGTAATTTTGGTGCGCCCGGCTGCGTGCGGACATCGGCCGCAGCAACCGGCGAAGCTCTGTTTTGGGGATTGATTTTGTGACATGGTATTGCTTGTTGGCTGAGATGCAAGTCGTAGGGCTGGCGGGCACGAGTTTGTGAGGGGGAGGGGGGTTGGTTGTGCTACTAGGTGGAGAGTTACTGCTAATGTGTTTTTGTGTGTTCGTCCCATCTATTCTGGCACCAGTCTAGACGTTTCGGTTACAGTTTATTGGAAAGTTTGGCCTTCATTTAGACCCCTTCATGTCGAGTGCTGCCGACGACATATCGTTAACTCCAACTCCTTCTTTTTGGCAACAACATCTTCCTTTGGAACAAAACGCCTTCGAAGGCTGAAACTGGCCCCGCGAGTACTCTCTCCTTTGAAGCGGTGCTCACACGCTTCGGCGGCGTTGAACCGTCCCTTTTTCATTCGAGGAACCTGGTTCCTATGGTGAACGCGACCGATTGGAACCGCACGAAAACGTGTTTGATACCAACTTGGCCCATTCAAGCTCCCGTTGATCGCTCTACCTGATGGCCGACTCGAAACAGCGAACCCACTCCGCGTCTCGGTGCGGGCAGCGAAGCAGTTATTTTTCGATTTCGCCCGGATTTATTTGTGCGAAGGGAACAGGGTATGTTTCGAGTGGACTTAATGTAGGGAGGCAGGATCTCCCCAAAATTCACGTTCAGTCAGCCCCGTCTGTCCAGGAGTGTATATTACTTTTGGCGTTAGGTTGAAACCTTCTGTCTGAAGCCCAAAGCCAGCGTCTCGTGGAGAAAACCGCGCTTGAAGCGCCGACCGCAATACAGACCAAAGGCAGAACAACCCGAGGGCGGCCATCAGGGGCGTTGTCGGTGACGTTCTCCCGTACGGGGCAATTTGTTGTTTTCAGCATCAAACTGCTGTCTCCCGTAAGCTTGGACAGTGCAGAACGCGGAGTTGACGAAACACGCACTGTACATGTTGGCAGTTGAACACCGCAAGCTTATCCTCCGGATTAAAGACCAGGGTTTGAAGGACAACTCTGAACACATATAGAAACGAGGAAAAGGCACCTCTTCGTGGAGTCACACCATGGAGTGTTGAATTGGCTTTCGCTGCTGCCACGTGTCACTCGTATACTTGTTCAGAATAACGCCTGTTCAATACGGAACGTGGGTTCTGCTCGATCATGCTTTGAACCGCTTTCTGCAGTCAACGCGTACGACCGCCAGAGGCCATGGACAGGGACGATGGTGCTGCCAGGAGGACGGCTGCAACACTCAGCCGTCATTTGGTAAAACCGGCAGCATGAGGCCGGAGTTCTGCTCTCAGCATGCGAAGCCAGGGATGATCAACGTTCGCAAAAAGAGGTGTTGCCACCCAGGGTGCACTAAAAAGCCATCCTTCGGTACAGCCGGCAGCAAAAAGGCGGAGTTCTGCTCTCAGCACTCCAAGAAAGACATGGTCAACGTCGTTGGCAGGAGGTGCGGTCACCCAGGCTGCACCATATTGCCGTCGTTTGGCAAAGACGGCACCAAGAAGCCGGAGCTTTGCTCTCAGCACGCGAAGCAGGACATGATCAATGTGCACAGTAAGAGGTGCGGCCACCCGGGGTGCACGAAGCGGCCGTCATTTGGTACGAGCGGAAGCAAGAAGGCGGAGTTTTGCTCTCAGCACGCGAAGTAGGACATGATCAATGTGTACAGTAAGAGGTGCGGCCACCCGGGGTGCACGAAGCGGCCGTCATTTGGTACGACCGGCAGCAAGAGGCCGGAGTTTTGCTCTCAGCACGCGAAGCAAGACATGATCAATGTGCACAGCAAGAGGTGCGGCCACCTAGGATGCATCAGGACGCCATTGTTTGGTACAGCTGGTAGCAAGGAGCCCGAGTTTTGCTCTCAGCACGCGGAGAAAGACATGGTCAACGTCGTTGGCAGGAGGTGCGGTCACCCAGGCTGCACCATATTGCCGTCGTTTGGCAAAGACGGCACCAAGAAGCCGGAGTTTTGCTCTCAGCACGCGAAGTAGGACATGATCAATGTGTACAGTAAGAGGTGCGGCCACCCGGGGTGCACGAAGCGGCCGTCATTTGGTACGAGCGGAAGCAAGAAGGCGGAGTTTTGCTCTCAGCACGCGAAGTAGGACATGATCAATGTGTACAGTAAGAGGTGCGGCCACCCGGGGTGCACGAAGCGGCCGTCATTTGGTACGACCGGCAGCAAGAGGCCGGAGTTTTGCTCTCAGCACGCGAAGCAGGACATGACCAATGTGCACAGCTGGAGATGCGGCCACCCGGGGTGCACGAAGCGGCCGTCATTTGGTACGACCTGCAGCAAAAAGCCGGAGTTCTGTTCTCAGCACGCGGAGGAAAACATGGTCAACGTCGTCGGCAAGAGGTGCGGTCACCCGGGGTGCACGAAGCGGCCGTCATTTGGTACAGCCGACAGCAAAAAAGCGGAGTTCTGCTCTCAGCACGCGAAGGAGAACATGGTCAACGTCGTCGGCAAGAGGCGCGGCCACCCAGGGCGCACCATACACCCGTCATCTGGGCGAGCCAGGGAGGATCAAAGAATAACACACGCAAGATGATGCTGCAGGAAGTCGTGAGGCAACTGAGTGAGCGCTGCCGCGCAGGCCGTGGAGCGGGCGAAGGAGCGATGCGAGTGGAAGGAACGAGACGTCAAGTTGGGAAATGTTTGGTCCATTTTTCTGGTACGAGGTGGCTGGATGGCGAACGAAAAATTAAGGGATGAGAGTTTTCGTGTAGTTTGCGAAAGGGGACCGTTTGTCGTGTGCGTGCCTTGCTTCGTACAGAGTGTGTGTGTGTTATCGTTGTTGGTTTCCTTGTACCTGGGGCGCCGTGATTGAGAAGCGCATTTCTTCGATGTAGCTCTTTTAAAGAAGAATGTCACTGTCGCGCATACATGTCTTTCAAGAAACCATTCACTGGTACGTAATTTCTGACAACGAACTCGATGATCGTCTGTGGATTATTTTCTGTGGCGATCGGGTTCCGCGGTCGGGGGCACGACCGGACGGAAACCTCCGATTGAATCCGACGCACCAGCTGGCGAAGAACACGTCGCAAATGAAGGAGAAGGCCAGGGAGAGGGAGAGCGAGAGAGAGCTGCTCTACCGGAACAAGAACCACCTCAAAGATGAGCAGGTGCGGCAAGGCGCAGTAACCAATACCGTGGGTTGTTGAAAGTACAGGGTCTCCGGATGCGGGGGGGCATAGACCCCCACCATCCTCACTCCTGATGAGTGAGTGGTGATGGGAGGATGTAAGTGCGTAGTTTATGTTGACACAATTGTCGGGTCTTCGTGTGGCCAGCTTCATACCAAAGGATGCCACAGCAGAGCTTTACGATAATGTTGCTGTGCCGTTGTCCTTAGGGTGTTGGCCGTTGAATTCAAGCATGAAGAGGCTCGATCTGGGTGTTATTCATCGCTGCAGCGGCCGAAGCTATCAGCAAACTACAAGGCCTTTCGTTGTTTCGTTGTCGTGGAGATGTTGGCCTCAAAGAAACGATTTTCTGGCACGGTAGAGCAGCAAGCAATGGTCGGAAGAAAGTTGGAGACGTTTTGCAAAAAAACGTGGGGGATGACGGGGAAGAAGCAAACCGGGTGGGGCCGCAAACGAACCGCTGCCGGGCGTGCTGTCTCCGGCACCCGCCGGCATTTACCATCCACAGTCGTCGACGGCGACGCGTCAGCCATTTTCGCCGGGCCCCAGTGGCGTTTATGGGTGTCCCCCCCGGCAGACAACAAGAACCTGCACGCCAGACTGGACCCATTGATCCCGTGTTCTGCTTTGACGACTCTGGCACGAGCGCCATCGTGCGTGCTGCCGCTCTTGCCAGAGTCGTCCAAGAAGACGGGATTAATGGGACTAGTCTGGCCTGCAGGTTTCTTGTTGTCTGCCGGGGCAGACCCATAAGCGCCACAGCGCCACTGGGGCCCGACGAAAATGGCTGACGCGTCGCCGTCGACGACTGCGGATGATATATGCCGGCGGGTCGCAGAGATAGCACGCCCGGCAGCGGTGCGTGTTTGCGGCCCCACCCGGCCCAGCACAAAATAACCGCCGCTCATTCGTATTCGCCACTGCTGTGAGAGTGCAAAACATCAGGAAATTCGCGCCGATTGCAGGTTCTCTCTCAAAAATACCAAACAAATCTCCATCTCCTCAGCATCCACAGCCAGCCGCAAGACGCTGTACACAAAGACGTTTATTTCAAACAGATTTTTCTGAGATGGTAGAGAAGAGCAATGATTGAAAGAAAAGTTGTCACATCCGAAGAACGTTAGGCATGACGAAGAAAAAGGTTGAAAAAGGTGCCGATGAGGCATGCGTCAGGTGGGAAATCATTCCCTGCACTAATACAAAACGTAGGTCGCGTTCCTGTGTGATGGTACACAGCAGCAAGAGATTCACGCCGATAGCAACTTCTCTAAATACAGCCCGCAAATGTATATGCTGCCGTAGGGTTACTCTACACGCCTCGCCGAGTAGAGCAAAGAGAGCATGTTTGATGTGTACGTTTGATGTGAGGTATCATAGATACTTCGTTGTGTGAGTTGCGTGTTTCCAGCAACCGCTGTATACACGCAGCTGTGCAGAAATGGGAACAATAAACGGTAGGTATATATTTATTTAGTACTTCTGTGGGTGTGCATTGCCAGCAGCGCGTGAGCGAGGGGGGGGCTAGTTCTTTGTTCTGCGTACGACCCCGTGTCATCACGGTAGACCAGGCAGTGTGGTCGGTCCAGCTGGCACGATAAGGACTGCAACAATGATCTCACTCACTCGTGTCTCATCACTCCAACACGTTGGTACACGAGGGAGGCTGATCGATAATTCGGGTGGCTCGGTTCTTTGTGGTTGGAGCTCAAAGCGGGTGGCTCATGGCGGAGCGTGGATGGGTAGGAAACGTGTTGAAAACGTAATGCAAAAGTATTGGAAAGTATTGTATTCATCGGGGGCGTGCCAGTGCTCGTCAAACCTTCACGGTATCTGGGCACGCCTTCACTCTTTGTCACTCAACGAATCTCTCTGAATCTCCACCAAATACCTCTCGCAACCAAGGAATATATGTAGAAAGTTCCTATCCCTCCGCATCTCATCACTGTTACTTTCGTACGTACGTACCGGACATCTCAACCGTCATACTATGCTACGAGTACCCCCAATATATCTAATAGCCCCCCTACTCGTATGCATCGTCATGCTCCGAGAAAAACCAAAATGACCCGTAGTCGACCGTACCACGAAGGCACGCCTTGTCAGCAGTCCTGCTTACTTCAAAACAAAACAAACCATCAAACCAAATTCCTCTTTACCATCTCTCCAAAACAATCAAGAAAATTCTCAAAACAAACAAAAACCAATATCTTCGCGCCTGGTGTCCTCCGCTGCTTGGCGGGCTTCCGCTGCTGGGCGGGCAGAAAATTCTCAAAACAAACAGAAACCAATATCCTCCGCTACTTGGCGGGCTTCCGCTGCTTGGCGGGCAGAAAATTCTCAAAACAAACAAAAACCAATATCCTCCGCTACTTGGCGGGCTTCCGCTGCTTGGCGGGCAGAAAATTCTCAAAACAAACAAAAACCAATATCCTCCGCTACTTGGCGGGCTTCCGCTGCTTGGCAGGCAGAAAATTCTCTAAACAACAAAAACCAATATCCTCCGCTACTTGGCGGGCTTCCGCTGCTTGGCAGGCAGAAAATTCTCTAAACAACAAAAACCAATATCCTCCGCTACTTGGCGGGCTTCCGCTGGTTGGCGGGCAGAAAATTCTCAAAGCTCAATTCGTCTACTTTCAGTCATACGGAGAGTTGCAGGGTGAGGCACTGCACCGATATCCCCTGATGAAGTCTGGAGGCGACCGGCCATGGCAGTCGCAATCGCGTCGGCCAGATCGTCTGCGGAAGGGTTGGGTGTTGGGCCCCCAGGTTCTTGCTGGTGTGGTGCCTCTTGTTCCTCATTTCCTCGCCGGAGATCTTCTGATCTCTGCCGCTCGGCTCGATGCCGTACCTCCATCTCGGCCATCTTCTTGGCCAGTTTCTCCTCCATCAGCTGCTGCTCCATCCGAGCTGCTACTCTCTCGTTGATTGACCAGTTCTTCGATCCTGGCGTCCTCCGCTGCTTGGCGGGCTTCCGCTGCTGGGCGGGATTCATCTTCGCGCCTGGTGGCCATCGTGACCCTGCTCTTGATCGCCGCAAAGCGATGCTCCTAAACCAAGCTCGACCGCGAATCTCGTAGACGACGTGTCATACGCTAGCGTGATCGATAATTCGGGTGGCTCGGTTCTTTGTGGTTGGAGCTCAAAGCGGGTGGCTCATGGCGGAGCGTGGATGGGTAGGAAACGTGTTGAAAACGTAATGCAAAAGTATTGGAAAGTATTGTATTCATCGGGGGCGTGCCAGTGCTCGTCAAACCTTCACGGTATCTGGGCACGCCTTCACTCTTTGTCACTCAACGAATCTCTCTGAATCTCCACCAAATACCTCTCGCAACCAAGGAATATATGTAGAAAGTTCCTATCCCTCCGCATCTCATCACTGTTACTTTCGTACGTACGTACCGGACATCTCAACCGTCATACTATGCTACGAGTACCCCCAATATATCTAATAGAGGCCACCTTATGACTCCCTCCTCAACATGCGAGAGAAGTAACGCAGTAGCAGCGGCAGAGGAGGAAGCGGAAGGCCCTACAGGCAGGCGCTCTACCGACCGACTGGCGAATACTAGACAGACGGAATTCGATCACGTCAGGAGAGAAAATAGATGGCGCCACGACCATGCCGCCAATGAAAATTGGGCGATGCACAGTCCACCGAAGATTCTCCCAGGATCTGGTGCGAAGCGAGGGTTTGGGCACTTTCCGGTTGTAACTCGCTCGCACTTGGCGTATCGAGTCCCGCCGCAGGGAAATTGTGGTGGAGCTACTTTCCCTGTCATAAAAAGGCGGAGAAAAGAAGTCGATGCAACTTTGTTGGGTCACTCGGGGCCTGCGCAAGGAAGCGACTCTCACTGGCTTCCAGTTGCCTGCATGTTTCTTGTAGTTTTAACCGAATGTGTGGCTTGAACGTGCCTTGTTTTTTGCTGTTGCTGCTGTTGCTGTCATGTTCTTCACAAGGGTGGTGGTGGCTTCGTGTGCCGTGACCCCGCCAGAGGCTACGAAGAGCGGCAGGAAGAAAGAGGAGGGGCCACGAGGAAGAGAAGGAAAAGGCGGGGTAGGGCAAGAACACCAGGAAGGAGAAGGACAGCAGCAACAAGACAGGTTGGCGGGGTAGATTGGTGAGCTTCTTGCCCGGGCGGCGGCGGTAGCAGCAGAGATATGCGCGCAATTGCCATGCGGCCATATCGCTTGGATGGAGAGTTTGCAGTACATACTCGCGTCACAAGGCCGACCCGAGGCGCACCGAAGTTTTGCTGGGAAGGCGGGCGTTTTCGTTTCACCTAGCGCGAAGCTAGCGCCGAGTTAGTTGCACAAGAGAGCACGGACGGCCGGTGAAATCGAGGGAAGGCGTGTGATGTATTCATCGAACCAGATGGGGTCCGCCGATTGGTGGAGGGGGGGGTTGATGCGCGGTTTGGCTGTTCCTTTGTTTTGTGATTCTTCGCCCCGAGTTTTCACCTATACCGCCATCACCACCACCGCCACCACCAACAACAGTAGCAACTACAACGAGCTTTCGCCGTGAGCCACCGCCAAACACAAGAACACTAATCACCACCCAAGACAACACACGCCAATCCTGTCAGCATCGCCAACAACACCGACAACAGGCGATGAGGAGCTTCGCTGACAGAGGATTATATACGTTAGGTGTCAACGCGAGGAACGTTGCGGCGGCGGCGACACTGCATCCGCGTGCCGTCCCCGCCGCGCACGAAGTTTCGGAAAGCACGCACGAGTCTTCGATATCGAGATATGACCTCTCGCCCAGGTATTCCTTGTGACACGTGTTTAGGGTTTGCTTTCGTGTCGCAATTGTACTGTGTGTTTCGCTTGTATGGTCTGCGGTGTTTTCCGAAAGCGTGACAGAGTTGGTGTACCGTTCTGCCCACGATTATACGGCCAACCTTATGGGGCAAGTGTGCCAGAGAAGCGCTCCGTGGCCCTCAAAGAGTGATGTTCGTCCAAGACCCCGCTTCGGTACCCAATGTACATACACGACCGTAGTGTTAGCACATTGGAGGCACCGTTGGAGTCGCGCACGTCCTTGCCGTACCTGGTGCAAGCGGTGCCTGTTTGGACGGTAAAATAAAGTTTTCATGGTCACGCAGGTCGTCGAAGTATCAGTTTTCGACCAGGGGGTGGTCAGGCAATGCGGCACAAGTATGTACCGCCGCAGCATGTACGAGTACCCTCGGTAAACGTGGTATGAGATCATCACACGTTGTGTCTTCTCGAGCTTCGTTGTGTCGTATCGCTGTGTTGGTACGCAATACACCCACCATCCTCCCACCTCCGCGGAATCCCCCCCCCCCCCCGCACCAACCTCGCTGCATTTGCCCACCCCACCCAACGTTTTGTCCCTCAGATGATAGCAGTGTGTTTCCAGGAGCACATCCACAGCAGTAGCACGTCCTCCGTGGGCTTAGACATGAATGCGCTGCTATCGTGGCTGCTTCAGCACCCGGACGGGGGAGATGTTCCGGAAGAACAGGCCAGCGCCGCAGCCAGGTCAGCAGGCGTTCATCGCTGCGCATCACCGTGTGTTTGGTTGCTCACTATCGCGCGGTGGATTCTGCCAGACCGCGGGGCGAGCGCACGTTCGCTCCCTGTCTGCGCTGTTGCGTGCGTAGGGTTAGGGGTGTTGTAGCACGCACGCCATGTGGACCACGTTTCAAGGCTGTAAAGTTATGAAATCCAGACGGTGCCGAACCTACGATAGCGGCAATTTGTATGTAAAACTCTCCTGGACACAGTTCCGCGGGAGACGCGCAAGAAACAGTTAACCTGAAAGACCACCCGACCCAAAAAGCAACGTTCGCGCATTTGTAACACGACTCCTGCAGGACATTCGCGCTTGAAACTTGCTGTAGATTTATAACGCGGTAAACCCAAGTGTGGGCTGTCAGGCGAACGAACGAGGCATTTGAGAAACGCGTTCAACCGGGGACAGAACGTCGTACAGACTGCGCGTGCTTCGGGATACCCCCCTCCGGTGTGGCAAGAAATCGACTTGTTTACCAAGCTAAATAGTAGTTTGCAGAACCAAGTTCTCCGGTTCGGCGCCAAACGGCCAACCCAGCCCAGCCCTCGGTAAATGTTTTCCTTCTGCACAACCGATGAACGCCACCTCACTCACTCATGCACTTTAGCCCAAAGTTATGAGGCATTCTGGGCTTGCCCCTGTAGCCGCCCCATGCTTCCTCGCCCTTGCTATTGTATTCACAAACGCCCGCTGCAAGGTCCTTGTTTCCAAGGCGAAGGCGACGAACGTCGACGACTTGGTGGGCATCGCCGTGTTCGGTGGGGTCGGGGGCGGGAAAGGATGACGGCAACGCCATAGGGGTCCAGGCAGGCGGTGCCGCTGCGACCGTTCCGGGGGTGGCCGCCAAGGCCGAGCACAAAACGGGGAACAGGCACAACCTGGAGCTGCGGCGCATCATCTGGGCCTGGAACGCGTCCCTGCCATCTCAGGAGCGCAGAAGAAGAAGAACACGCGGAGCCGCCGATGTGTGAGGTTTATTCGTCGGCGGATACGTACTGCTGACAGCATGCATGCCACGCTGGTTGGCGGCGTGATTTTGACTGTTTTGCCGTTGCGGGGGTTTCGGCCGCGATTTTGGCTCCTCCCTCCCTTGGTGAAGAATCCCTGAACAATATACTCCGAAATATCAATATTTGCCTCTGTACATGAACGCATAAAGTAGCAGATTCCAGGAGTGCTTTGGCCCAGTGTTTTCCTTCAGCTGTCATTGAACATGCAGCGTTTTCTCTGTTGGCCCAAGCCGTGAAGATACGTACCAGAGAAAACGTGAATGGAGCCATAGTTGTGAGCGGTGCAGCACCACACAATCATGTTTTTCATAAATGGAGCGAGCGGCACGTTGTGAGTATTGTACGTTGCCCGTGATGGGCATTTAGGGCGTGCCCATGATGAACATCCCAAGGGCATGGTTCCATAGATGCCCAGTATGACGGGCATTCCATGGTGGGTATACCATGCATGGCAGTTCGTAGTGAAAGTACGATGTACATCCTGGGGGTACGGCCGGTATTTGAGCTTGTTCATGGGCCACTCACATCCATCCATCCGCGGGGAAACATCCAAAACATATGCTGTGAAACGTATGTATTCGATAACATGTGCTGTGAAACGTACGTATGCGTACCCCAGGTAGGTGTGCCCTCGATGAGCTGCCGATGGAACTGACATGGCCGTTTCCCATGAGCAGCTCATGGAATACGAAGTAAATGCCCATGGGCGTCTCGAGTCCCATGGGCGCTCACAACTCACTCACAAGTTCCGTATGAACTGGCTATCAAGAAAGACTGCGGAGAGTGAGTGTGGGAGATTCGGTTCGCCACGAAAAAAACGGTCGATTCACAAAATGAAAATATCAGTTGTTGTGTAGCAATGCATCTACAGCAGCTTATGTAAGAGCCCCATCTGTAGAGAGGTCGAGGCCTTGCTCAAGTGGTACTACTACTACTGCTTTCGGAATAAATGTCTAGGAACTCGATTCTTCCCTTTTCTTGCACTCTGCCTCGCGAACGGCTTCAGCCACGTGTTGTGGGTCTGTCTGCCGAAAACGAGACAGCTATCATAGCTCCACGCAAACGCTCGACATTTTTGGGGGGGGGAAATGGACACAAGTGGGTATACCCACCCCTTTCTCGGACAAAAGTGGGTACTCAGAAATCCAGCTCGCGCGAGCTCCATAGGCGAGCCCCAAACACGCCTCAAAACCCAATTCTGACACCTGAACAACATAGCCAGGGGCCATACACAGCACGGACATAAATTTTTTCCGACTTTCAGGCACACCTTTGGCCCAAATACCGCCGCGGGGCCCAAGGCCTCAACAGAGTGCCCACTTTTGTCCGACATCCTGGTGGGTATACCCAGCGGCTTCCACTCATTTTTTCATGTGCCCACTTATGTCTATTTTTCGACCCACTTTTGTCCGAATTGTACCCACTTTTGTCCACTTCCGGACATCGGACAATCGACCTCCACGTCACCGCACGGCAGATAATCGAATAGCCTCGGAACGTCTCAGAACTCCGCAACACCGTATCCATGGCATCTTTGGTTCCATCGCATCTTTTCCAAGCAAATAACCGGACCGACTCCTCCGCGAAAGAACATTTCAGAACATGCCAGACCCCATTCGGTCTCCAACGGCAACCGCACGGCACGGGAAGATGTCCGGCAAGCAGCGCTCTCGGCACGCCACAAATGTTTGACACATAACGGACACGCCGAAACCAACGGATCGTGCATACAGAAGAACAAGAGACGGAACAACAGAGAACAGCACAGACAGATGCAAAGCCCCACACACACCACCACCACACGCCGAGTGCGCCGACTCTTGAGGGCAGCATGTCGAGGCAGTTTGCCCTGCTGGGCGCCCGCGCAGGGCCAAGTGCGGGGGCACCTCTGTCAGTTGCTTGCGGCGCCATGAGTGTGGGTGCAACGCTTCCTTCGCCGTCGGTATCCATTGGTACAAGAGATGCCATGGATACGGTGTTGCGGAGTTCTGAGACGTTCCGAGGCTATTCGATGTCCTGCCGTGCGGTGACGTGGAGGTCGATTGTCCGATGTCCGGAAGTGGACAAAAGTGGGTACAATTCGGACAAAAGTGGGTCGAAAAATAGACATAAGTGGGCACATGAAAAAATGAGTACAAGTCGCTGGGTATACCCACCTGGATGTCGGACAAAAGTGGGCACTCTGTTGAGGCCTTGGTTGGGCCCCGCGGCGGTATTTGGGCCAAAGGTGTGCCTGAAAGTCGGAAAAAAATGATGCCCGTGCTGTGTATGGCCCCTGGCTATGTTGTTCAGGTGTCAGAATTGGGTTTTGAGGCGCGTTTGGGGCTCGCCTATGGAGCTCGCGCGAGCTGGATTTCTGAGTACCCACTTTTGTCCGAGAAAGGGGTGGGTATACCCACTTGTGTCCATTTCCCCTTCTTTTTTTTTCAAGACCCGCAAATATTCTCCCGCAAGATTCCGCGGGAAAAAAAACAGTTGGCGATTGTAAGTACCATTTTTCGTATCTTATCCCCGCCGAAAAAAACTGCCCACATGGCCTACAAGATCTAGTCTATGTACAGTGGGGGGCCCTCTACAGTGCCGGGGTGTTTCCCGAGATTTTACCAGCACTATACAGGGCACGGGCCCGCACTACACAGACCGGGTTTTTTTTCGTTCGACGATTTATTTCTGGTATATATATATATTTTCCCTCTGCTTCAGCCCTCGCAAACTGCCGACAGCACTCCCGCACACTCCCACAGCACTTCGGTCTCCCATGCTCTCAACCTCTCTTCCGTGCTCTGAGGAACGGATTTGTTCGGCTTGAAGCGTTCACCGGCACCACTGACTTTGACTGGTGGGCGAGCGTGTAAACACAACCACAGCAGCAGTAAAGGTAGGTGCGGGGCAGATTCAGAGAGTTCCGTTAGCAACTGACAGCAGCAGAGTTTCGGTGGCAGGCGTGTAAAGAGTATAACGAGGAGCGCTGTTGCGCCGCCTTGGAATTCTGCGATGGCACTCTCCCAAGAGCCGTGTGATGAACTCTGAACTTGCGTGATTGCGTGTTCATTCGAAGCTGCATGGCGGCGTCCACGAGTCTGGCTCGTTTATCGATCTACTACCTGTCTGTCTGATTTCCGATCGGAGACTCTCACATGAGTTGCTCCGCTCCTGCCCGTGATACGTACGACATCTTGGGCTCACAATGCGCAGGAGGATTTTGCATGATCCTTCTTCCTCGCCTTTGCACATGCCTTTGCACATGGTTGTCGGGGATTTCTCGACACGCGCACAATCACCACGTGCACATGCGCACGGAGGAGGCATGCGCACGCGCGCACAGCAAGAAAAAGTCGAAATCTTTCCGTGAACAGAAAACGTTCCGGAAAAAAATAAAGCAGGACAAAAGAGTACACCACCATGTACGCGAACAAATGCGTCGCCGCGCGCGCAGTCACAGCAGCCTCCGGACGCATTGCAGCCCTGTGCGGACTTGTTCCGTTGGGACTCTACAGCAGTAGTGAAACCTCTTGGCTCTGTTGTAGGTTGTGGGTTCGAATCTCCCCGAAGTGACAAACCAAGCGGTTTCTCCGCAATATTATTTCCGCCGTGATAATACCGCCCTCTTGGTAAGCGGTTTACCCCTGTTTGTTTCTATTACAACGCCTCCGCCAAAGCCGTCACCGCCGAAAAATGCATACACCGGCTACGCCACCACTGAATTGCCGCTGCACGGTATGGCGCTACTGCCTCCGTTTGTTTGTTCTACCGCCTCCTCCGCCAACAAACAAAGTCGTTGCCGCCGAAAAAAGCGTGCCGCCTACCGCCGAAAAAAGCGTGCCGCCGACCGCCGAAGAAATTACCACCGTGTACCCTATAGACTAGTCTAGACGGCCGGAATAAATGTTCTAGACTTCATACCTTCAGAGGGGAGGAGCTGGCGAACTATTTGCGAGAAAAGTGACGGTAAGCACCGCAGGAGGAGGAGTAAATTGACGAAAGATCTTCCTGTGTGATCCCGGCTGGTTGGTGCGTTTAACGTTTGGCGGAGGAGGTGTAAATTGTGCCCAGATTATTAGACTAAAGATAGCGCCCTGGCAGCTAAGAATTCAAGCTCGAATTAGACTTGTACAGTGTGCATTTTTTTTTGGGGTAAGTTGGCCTGTGACCACGGGAATCGACCCCGTCAAGTGTTAGACTAGTACGGACAGAAGCAGGTACTGGGCAGAGAGAACGGAACGGACAACAATAACAACATCAAACTTGAGAACCTGCGCACCATTTTGTGAGCGAGCCAGGTTGAGAACCGCTATACGCTAGAATAAAACCTCTACCGTGGCCACTTGTAGCCCACAAGAGGAACTAAGAACACCAAAACGAGAGTGTCTGAAGTGCGGACGCTGCTTGCATCCATCCTGTGAACGGTCGCCATGCTCGGCATTCCAACTTGACAGCGCAACCACACGATGTTTGCTGGCCCAATAATACGGCGTTCTCCTGCCCTCTGCTGGCTTGTAATTAATGTGGACTCGGGAAAACTCGGTTGGGCGCCGCTCGAAAGAGGAGAGCCATTATTATTTTTTCTGCAGCGACGTCGACACCGCATACATGGTAATGCGTTTGTTTGCCAAGAACTTCCGTTCCCCCCTCTGCGCTGCCCCCCTAGGACTGTAGGACCCTCTATAATGGCGCAGACGGACCGTGCGGCTCTGGTTGTCCTATATGTCGCGACCAATGGAACAAGCTGGAAGAACAACGATAACTGGAGCACGGAATCCAATCTGTCGCTATGGCACGGGGTCAAAGTCAACGACCAGGGCCGTGTTGTGGACCTTAGTCTGGGCTACAACAACCTCCGAGGTACAGTATTCCGGTTTAGTCCATGAAGGCGTGCTGCTGTCTTGCCTTGCCATTATTGCGAGTTTACAACAGGGTGAGAAACTATCTTTCGTTTCGCGTACCTTCCTGCGCTCTGCACGCCGTGAGTCGAGACTGTACGAGCACTCCGTGCGTACGGTGCTTTGTACTAGTGAAAGCTAAACGGCACCTGAACATGGCGCGCCACCTGTAAACCACACCATTTTTCGTTTGTGGTGTTTGTGGTAAGCAGAGGACCTCCGGTATCGCGTGTTTTGCATGGCTGGGACGCGTTTTTCGTCGTAAGCATGTGCTGGAGCGTTCTCGATTGCGAAGCCGTTCCGTACCGACCCGGTAGGCTTAGTGTAGGTTGATTTGCTGACATGTATCCAATGTGTCGCTTTTCTCACCCAAGTGTGTAACCGAGTCGATAAACGTGGAGTGATTGACAGGTTAATGGAAGGAACAAAAATTCTTAATATCAATTCTCGATTTTGGAAGACTTGATGCGTTGGATTCAAGACGTATGTCCCCGTACCTTCTAGGAACAAGACATGGCTCACGTACGTTCTAGATTTCGGAGTCTTTTTCTTGTTCCCCATGAAGTATTTGTATTTTTGTTTCTGCTTGCAGGTCCCATCCCGCCGGAGATAGGAGACCTCGTTGCAATGACTGGCCTCTACCTTAAAGGAAACACGCTAATCGGTGAGTCACCCGGTGAAAAAATCAGGATGAATCCTGCCGATGCTTTTGGACACACATTCTTGATACCGCGTGAGAAAGCTATATATACCACATTTTTCATGGTCATTTCGAACGTCATGCAGGCGAAATTCCTGCTTCGCTAGGACGGCTTGGCAACCTAAGAGGGCTTACTCTTGCGGAAAACAACCTGACCGGTGAGTGCCTCTGGCATAAAACAAGCAGGGGTAAAATAAGAACTCTGGAGCAACAATTTTGCGTTGGGCCTCACCAATGCATACTGTAGGCAGGACCATTTCCAAAGCTATCTGTAAACCCTTGCTATTTTTATTCGTTGTTCTTGCGCAGGACCTATTCCCAAGGCGCTCGGGAATCTCAGCAAGATGGAGTCGCTTGACCTCGTCGCAAACCAGCTCACAGGCAAGACGCATCTATTTTGTCCAATGTGTCGTATGCTGCGTGCCCTGCTTGGCGAACGTGGTTCCGCCGGGTTCCGTACGTCTCCTCGCATACACGTAGGTGGTAGTACTTCTAGAAGCCGGAGATTTGGTTTGTTCCCCACTACAGTCGTATCTGCACTTCCGTTGCCTCAGGCCCCATCCCGCCGGAGCTGGGGAAACTTTCACAGATGGTGACAATAAATCTATGGGGCAACCAGCTGAGTGGTGAGTTGCACGGAAATTGTTTTGTCTACTTTCAGGATGGGCCCTGCGCAAGCTTTGACAAGTAGGCTGGTCGAACACCGCGGAGCACTGTTTACAAGTAGGGTAGGATGACCATCCACGCCTCATTGCAGGCCAGGGAAAGCTCGTGTAGCTTGCTGAGATCTCCCAGCGCCTCCGGCATAGGTCTCGATCAAGCAACACGGCCGGACAAATCGCAGGACAATAGTCTTGATTATTCTGAAAGATGTGTCCAGCTGACGGGGACGTGAGGGATAAGCGTTATTGTAATCCTCGCCTCTCACATACTTGTGATCTTGTTGTAGCCGAGCGAAAGTTCCTTCATCGCAGAGAGGGCTCCCAGTGCCTCGGGATGGGGCCTGAACATTTCAGTACAACTCAAAAAATGTACAAAAATAAGAACATCACCATTGGGCCTTTAACAATGGTCTTGCAAACGCGTGGGTGAGTGTGTTCCAGAAGTCAGGGAATGACTTGTCGTTCCCTGCAATAAATGTATATGCTCTTTCTTCCGCTCGCAGGACCGATCCCGCCGCAGCTGGGAGACATGTCGGCGTTGACATCCCTCGCACTTGATGGAAGCGACCTAACCGGTGAGCGACTATGCTCAGGTTTCAGGTTGAATCCCTCCGATAAGTGGGTGAGTAGCTGCGCAAGAAGAGCCTGACAGAAAAAGTTTCAAGATGCCCCGGTGAAAACTTTCTGCATTTGCTCTTCCCCGTGCAGGACCGATCCCGCCGCAGCTGGGACGCCTTGCTGCCCTGGAGCGGCTCACCCTCTCACGAAACCGACTAACAGGTATGTTGTTGTGAACAAATCCCATGTATGCGTAGGCGGGATTCATGCATGGTGTTTCCGTTTTCTCTACAAAGTCGAATCACAAGAACGAAAACAAGGGTAACGCTAAATAGCATTACCGACAAAAAATCACGCACTCACCGTTCAGCATGGTATGGCAGTGGTCGACAATCTCCAAGGCGATCAGATGGCCTAGCTGGGGCCGGGTGTGACCTGCAGAGAGCAATTCGAAGCAAAATTGCGCCCTATCTACGTATGTTCCTATTCAGAGCATGTTCTAGAGGAAGACTCGCCCACGCGTCGGCAGGACCACTGTTCTCGAAGCCTCCTCGAAGCGTCATGACACGATGTTTTGGTTGTTTGTTGGACTGTGCTGCTTCATCCAGGTCCAACACCCAAGGAGCTGGGAGACCTCTCCAAATGACACGATGTTTTGGTTGTTTGTTGGACTGTGCGGCTTTATCCAGGTCCAATACCCAAGGAGCTGGGAGACCTCTCCAAGCTGAAGGTGCTTTCGCTGAGCAAGAACAGCCTTACAGGTGTGTGAGCGACGCGAGGACTACCTACCCCGTGAAGAGACTGCTGCTTCTAGAGAACATGTTCCGTGTTAGCAGGACGCATGTTCCAGGAGCCGTAGGGACTGATCGTGCATCTTCCTCCTCCCGGTTTTTGCTGCTGTGGATAATTGTACAGGGCCCATCCCCGAGGAGCTGGGAGCTCTCTCCAAGCTGCAGGAACTTTCGGTGGGCGACAACATGCTTACAGGTATGTGTGAGAGGCTAGGATGTTATCTATGCTCATCCCCGAGGGAAAAGGCTGCTGTCTTTACAGTAAAACTAACTCATGTCCTGCGGATCCTCCACTCTGAGAAGGAAACCGAAAAATTGAGATGCTACACATCTTCCAGCCTGGTGCTGCCGAGCTGCAGAATTGTAAGAGAAACGAGGTGCAAACACCGGCGGTATGGACCCTGCGGCAAGCTCATGAGCATGAGCATGTCGAGGATTCAGTCTACAGCAAAAGTTTCGCCGAGATTTCGGCTCGAGAAAATGTGTCCTGCCGGTGCACGTATCGGCATGGCCTAACTCAACATTGGTCCGAGGGTTCTTTTTTGTGTTGTTACAGAAACAGGGTCTCCTGCTTTTCCTGAGAGCTGCCACCACCCCTGGAATGATCCCAGAGGCTAAACGAAAACTTAGGACCAAATCATTGACCAAAACGAGCCTTCTAGACCATCAAGCCCGCCTACCCTAGAGAATGTTATGCCCTACGAGCCAAAGCAAATTGGACAACACGTTCGTGGACGTGAAACATGTTGGGGTCATGAATGGGGGGGACAAGTTCTGTGGAGATCAGTTTGGGCATCTGTCCAAGACTCTTTTCGTGAAATCCATTCTCTTTCCGATCACTCACCAGTAGCCCCATTGTCCCGAAGGGTTTCCAGGGTAGCAATATTCCCAGCTCATGAGGAATGGAGGAGGCCTGCATTCTGGCTTTTCGATAATCCCGCCAAACAACCGCCGTTGGCGAGATAGGCGTGTACGGAAATGAATTTATTTTCACATTGTACGCGTCGCTCAATGGACCGTTCCCATTTCCGAAACAGGGTCCATCCCTTTGCACGTGACCAAGATGAAAAACCTCACGGCGTTCGAAGTTGGCGGCAACATCGGGCTTTCACGTGAGGGTTATGGCGTGGTTTTGCCCAACTGCCGGGAGAGAAGGGTGTCTCTACTAGGCCAGTTGCGTCGCTGCCGTTGCCTGGCAGAAATGTGTGCCAGTTGTAGATACATGTTTGAAAACCTTGCCGGATATAGCCGATTCTGTGATTCCATCGATATAGAAACGCGGACAACACCTTCCCTAGCAGAGGTCGTCGTTGGAGTTGTTTGCATGGCAAGGATACAACAATATTGTATGCCCCATGTACAGAAGTAACCAGCGTCGAAGGCCCCCTTGTCAACAAGAGTTGTGTGTCATGTTTCGGCAGTACGACCATGTTCCTACGCAACTAACGTAGAGCATGGCTGGTTCTTCCGTCCACATGCCCATTTCAGTTCCCCAGGGCGCACAGTATCCCAGAACTGAATTTTACAAGTGGATGCACCGCGAGGACCTCGGCGGGGACTTGGCGTCCGCACCTGCCTACCGAAACGTCGTGCCAGACTTGGAAGGTAGAGTTGGGGGAAGGCACCAACGCCAAAGATAATGTCGGGATATGTTGCAAGGGATAGCCATGGGATTGGACAATAGAGTTAGCAGGGTGCGCCAAAGCTACCTCCATGCTTGAGCTGGGTGGTCTATTTCTCCTTCTTGGCAGGATTTTTGGAGTTTTCGCAGCACTGATTGCCAACGCCTCCGAACCTCCCATGGCGAGAGTACGCTTCTTTCCTGTTGCGCGTGTTGCTTCACTGGGGTGTGCCTGGTGTTTCTAGTCGGCGTGGAGTTATCAATGTTCACTCCTATCGCAGCCCCAACTTGTGCCATGGGGATAGAGGCCTGACAAAAGCGCTGACATCGACCGTAACCTACCCGTTGTTAGAGAACGCTGCTGATTGACTGCAGAGGCAACCAGCTCTTGGAACCAGGGCTGCTGCAGCAGTGCCTACCTCGGACGTACCGCAGCAGACACAGATGACGTATTTCACGGTTGCGCAGGATCCTCAAGGCCGTTCCCCACAAAGGATCACCAAGGCGTTCTGCTAGAAGCTCCGGTCTCGTCGGAAGGACCCGACTGTCTGGAGTTCGGCGACTACGCGGACGTGCTGGTGGAGCGCATGACTGACCCCGCGGCGTGGCCGGTCGGCGTCGGCGTGTACGCTCAGTGGGGCGCTGGCAAGGTAGGCGCGGGTGCACGAACTGCCCCGATCACACAGACTCTTACAACGCGTGTCGGCCTTTGCTTTGTCCCTCCTGCCGGCCTCAGCGCCCCAGTGGTCAGGGGAAAGGCGTGGGTACCGCAGTTGCTCCTTTTTCTTCTGGCGCGGAAGCACGAGAGCGTAGTTAAGGGTAAGGTGCGCTGATCATACACGCCAAGTATCAAGGCAGGCACGTGGTAGAGATAGGAAAACTGCTTTGGCGACCCCAACGAGCGGTTAGTGGACAACAGCTTTGGATCAGAGGCACATGTTTGGTTCCGTGTACAAGATCCGGTTCTAACTAACTACACGACGAGGACAAATGAAAAGGACGGTACAACAACAAACTGCATGTTTCGGAAATCATTCGAACTCACTTGCCGAAATATCCTTGTTATCGCCACGTGGTGCGATGGCGTCATGTAGGCCTCAGTTGTGATCCTCCTATGGCGGAGCTCAACTAACAAACACGAAGCCTTGTAGGATTTCACGGCATACCCGACGGTGAACTGTCGGCATAGCATAGGAAAAGGGAGATTGTGTCAAAGTGGGCTTGCCTGGCAACGTGTTGGAGATATCCCGCTGAGGGTCATAGCAACGGCATCTGCTTGTTGTTTTTCATTTTGTTGCCATGTGATCGTTGAATGGTATCCTCCCGGTGGCATCTCCATGGTTTAATCGATAAGACCCGCCCTTGCCTGCGTCTACCAGTCCTCTCTGCTTCAACAAATTATTGATAAACTCAAGTCCGCACCGACACCGTCACCGGAGTGGTGGTTCATACGATGGCTGTGGACGACCACCGGAGGATCCGTGGTCTACGCGTTGTGGGCGGGCCTGGCGAGTGCGGTCTCCTGTCGCTGCTGCCGTTCTCCTGCACGCGACGATCGAGTCAACGACGTGGAGGACGGCCTTGGGTCAACTTCTGCGGACCAGCCTGCTCGTGTGACGAGTGTTGTTGCGTCCTTCGACGCGTGGCTGTTCGCAGACTCCAAGGTTCTGTGGGCGGTCCTCATCAGCGAAATATTTCATCAGGTGGGTTGATGATGAAACCCTAACGTGCTTCGTGTGTAAGCGGCGCTGGGATCTCTGATTCGCTTTTCGCTGTGCGGATAACAAGGGTGCAAGGAAGAAGCGACCCCTCTAGTGGTGACGCTCCCTTGACATAGAACATTGCCGCTCGCAGGGTAAGGGGGACACGTACGTACTGATGGTCACGCCCTCTCCCGATGATGCTACCTATTATGTCGATGTGCGAATTTTGACAGGTTGAAGAGCACCCATGCTTCGGGAAGGGTGCTGTGCGAGCAACCCGAGTACGCCATGCGGTGACATCGTCCACGTGCTCAGACTGGTGCCTTGTGATATTTACCGCAGTTATCGTGGCTGGCGTCGTTGCGGCTGCGAAGTTGGCCGCCGAACAGATTGCAAACATGCAGGAAGTGCTGGAGCAGGTGGTGGCCACTGCAGGGCTGGCAGCGGTGCCGATCTCTCTCCTGCTGTGGATTTTCAAGGTGCTCCTTGGAGTGGTTAGGTTCTATTTGCTGGAGAGCTCTTGGACGGAGTTGCCGCATCGAGCAACACGTGTTTCGGGCGTGACCTTTATCGGCGACTTTTGCATATTCGTGTTGTCACACGGCCCCGCATTCTGTCCCACACTCTGCTATATTGCCAACTGCATATTATCGAAACTCTGCGCGACCGCAGGTTCTTCCTGTGGTGTTCAAAGGTCAGGGGGAGCTCATCGTTGAAGAGGCGCAGTCAATGGGAGACGAGAGCGTGGGGATCGCCCACCTAGGTTTCATGGCCGATGTCCGAGACGAACTAGAGGTGTGTGCTCTCGCCGCCTATCACTTGGGGTGCGGGTAACTCATACCTTGATCAAGGGGACAGGGGGGGACATGACACCATCTACGAAATTCCCACAATGTATCGGAGCAAACTGTCGCCACGACCGGGTGTACAAGCCATTCGGTGCGATCGCGCCGAAATCCTTGGCTGCACGTCTGAAGGCGGTCCGCTTACGGTAGGTCTGCTCCCGCCTCGATCACTTTCTCGTCTTTTCGTCCGCGTTTGTCTGCCCAAGGTGCTTCTCGGCATGCTGGAACAAAAGAGCACCAAGGAGGACAGATACATGCTAGTTGTTAGCATCGATAATTTGGATCGATGCCCGCACCGCCAGATCGTCAAAGTGCTCGAAGCGGTGCATCTGCTCCTCGAAAAAGATAATGTGAGACTTCTGTGTTGCGGGTGTGGATGAGCGCAGGTGCGCATGTGCAGACAATCGTTGAGGATAGCACCACTGCCAGCTACAACATCCATGGCACGATTGGTTTGTTCCCAGCAGATGATTCTTAACACTTAACCAAGCGATGCAACAAGCCCAAACGAGCGCATTTGGTGTTGCTGTGTAACTGATGCCAGGTAAACGTTGCAGTCATGTTGGCGTTGGACCCCCGCGTGATTATTGCGGCGATCGAACAAGACATGGGGGAGGGCATACGCAAAGAGGTGAGATTACATATTCAGCAATGCATTTTTTCCTCCAGGTGGACTGAACACTGGCGCTCCGTTGGCGAGTTGATGTGTTCCACGAAGAGCGCATCTCAAACGTAAAGCGCTTCAGAAGGAAGTCTCGGCAATCTGTGCATTGTTTGGCTGCCGAGGTATGGCGTCGATGAATTTCGACATCCGATTGATTCACTGTATAGCTCAACCTCCAGGAAACTGCTTCCAAATCTACTACGAAGGTGTGGCTCATGGCGTGGTCTATTGTAGAGAGCGGGTAGCGTCACGTGTAGATCCGGTGCTGGCCAAGGTTTTACTCTCCACCGTTCCCGCTGCGACGCACTCTGACGTCCAAGGTGTCTGGTGCGGAGTACTTGGACAAGATCATCCACTGGCCATTCTGTATCCCGTCCGGAACAGAGGCAGAGCGCCTGTCTCTGCTGCGTAGCTGGCTTAAGGACCAAAGCAACGAAAAAAAACGGTCAGAAACCCGGAGGGCTGACAGCAATGTGCGGGTAGTCGAAGGTAGGAGTGAGAACGGATGGTGGGGATGGAGTCTGGGCGCTTTTCAACGACGTTTCCTTGCCACCTTATGTGTCGAAGTAGCTTACAGAACGCTCGGCGCACCCTTTTCGTGTATCATACTACTCTCGTCAGGCACAGTACCACGCCCGGAGCAGTTATATGTACTTCGGGGGGCATTCGCCTTAAGGCCGTGGTGGAGTTCGTGGTATCTGTTGATTGGCCCCAAGCCGAGTGCTGCTGGATGAGCACGGCTGTCCCGTTTGACAATGTGAAGAGATGGTAAAGTCGTTTTATTGGTCGTCCTCGTAGACACAAGCAACGGAAGAGAGTGGGCACTCAGGTGCATCACAAACACCGAGGCACGCGAGCAACAGTCGCAAGACGCATTCGGAACTCGGAATACATGACAGCAAGGAATGCGCGACAACTTGCCAAAGATCCTACTACCGGAGATACCCCGAAGATCCAAATGACCGATGGACGGTCACGCACTTGCGCACCTGCATAGCTCAAAACCACACATGAGTACTACCGCAGTAGCCTTCGTAAGGATGGCATAATCCACCTCACGAACACCCTCCCTGATTCTGTACATCATAACGAATGCTCTCAAAACCAAAGCGCTCAGGGTACTCATAGAAAACTCCAAAAGGAAACAAAAATAAAACAAACGAAGGGAAACCCGGCCACCGGATCAAAACCCTCCGCCCCCACGGGTCATCCTGCTGATTGAACTGTCAACACAATCAACACAGCAGTCACAAAGTTGCAAACCTACACGTCTACAACTGTCAGGCATTTGTACTACCCCTTTTCAAGTAGTCCCCTCCCAGCCAACATGATCCCTACTGTATCGAGTTGCTGTCGGCACCGCGGCGCGCCTAAGGCCACAAGCACCAATGCCAAATTGCAGCGGAAAAACGTAAAACCTAACGCTACATCGCTAAATGACATTTTTATAGAGGGCGATCAACCAAGAGGAAGATCAAGCAGTATCTCAACCACAACGGTACCCCGCTTCGAGAGACACTGGACCTAGACATTTTTCGCTACTCCTTCACAAGTAACTCCCTCCCAGCAACAGGATCCCTACTGCTGTATCCAGCTGCTGTTAGCAACGGGGCGCGTCTACAACCAACCCCGATCACCATTGTCTATCACATGACAGTGAGAGGTGCCCCCCTCGGTCTGTACATCAATGAAAGATCATAAAAAAAGGGCAATCAACCACATGTTAGGGGAGGGTGCCCCCTCTCAGCCTACACATCAGAGGACGATCGAAGCAGCATATCAATCATAAACAGTTCATCAACCAGCCTGCTGGTACCTGCTAATATGAGAGACGCTGGTAGCCATCTATCACGAAAAAAGGCGTCATTCATCAGCCCTCCCTGATTTCAGGCAAAATATCCCGGTGAAACTGTAGACACCAGGAAATAATTCCGAACATCATCAATCAAATTGGTGTGACCGCAGTGCCCTGCGGATCACCATTCCTCAAAGTGAGACGACAACGGAATGCCACACCATCCTCAGTATTTCATCGTGCAATAAGCCTCATCATGGCTCAACCTACGCGGTTAGTTACTGAGATGCGCATGGTATACCGGACAGGCAACATCGAGTTTCGTGGACTGCGTTCGTATCCCGATCGAACACACAAGAAAAAAACAACGAGCGAACGGCGGAAAAGTAACAGGCCAGAAAAAATTCCCCTTTGTACTTTCGTCAGTCGTATCATCAAAATCGGCTCTTTATGGGGGAATGCCGACGAGCCGAATTGCACGCAAGGCACGAAAGCGAACGGGCGTTGATGCACCGCTGGGAAAACAGAACTAGACAACATCAGAGTGCTTCGTATGCGACGTCCAACTCGACACCACCGCCTCCAATCGCGGCGACTGCAGTTTCAGTTCTCGATGGGCAGTTTTTCGCGTTGTGCCCCTTTTTTCCGCACCTCTGGCAAAGCTTCTCTGGGCATGCACTCGCATAGTGGCCACCATCACAGATGTAGCACTTGACTCTCTTGTCGCTAGCTAAATTCGCCTCTTCGTAACCTCGGTTTTGTTTCGGACGTCTCTTTCCTCCCCCCTTCCCCTCTACTGCTACGAACGCATGATGGTTCGCTCGCCGATCACTCTTCCCCTTCTTTTCCTCCGCTTTCAGTTGCCCAGCCCGTGTTCGAAGCACTCTCAAAATCTCTTCTTCATCGAGTGTTTTCTGGGCGAGCAGCTGTTGCTTTTGAATCTCAAATTCCGGGGAAAGCGCATCGAGGAACCGTGCATACACGAGCATTTTTGGGATGGGCTGGTCGAATGCCAACTCTAGGTTAGTCACTACGGACTTGAACTCCTGGAAAAAACACTCGGGGTTCCTGGTTCTTCCCTTGTTGGGCATTATAAAACTTTCCGATCAGCGAGATCTGCTCGCCGCCGGTCAAGGGGGTGAATGTTTCTTCTAACGCACGCCACGCTGCCGAGGGCCCCTTTCGATCGTACACCAGCATTTTTGTGGAGTTGTTGGATATCGCTCCGGTCAGCATCCCCCACAAATCCCGGTACATGGCTATCTCCCCTACTTCCACTCCTTGCTCTATCATGCCATCATCGTCTACGCCTAGGACCTCAATGTCTCTGCTGTCGCTCAAGGCGCGACCCATCCCACAAGTCTGAACCTGCGTAATGAAATCGTTTCGGAACATCAGCCAGTTTTTCTCGTCTCCGTTGAAGTCCAACTGTTTCAGTCGTGGGATACGGGCATGCGAGCTGAAAGCATACCGTGAAGCTTGCTCCTCTCTGCTGATTCCCTCTCGCGAGATAGCACCGTGTGGTGTAGGCTCTCGTGGTTCCGGGCCTCGCAGTCCTCTCGCTCCCTCGAGCCCTCGTCCAGTATTCGGCGCTTGGTCTAGCTGACCCGCGCCAGGGAAGGCGTGCGTCCTCCCCTGTGACTCCCCCCCGCCGCCCGCTGCGGTCGCACTTCCGGCGGGCGGTGTCCCGGGCACTAACCGGGACAAGGTGTTCATGATGCCTTCCAGTTTCTCCGTCACCATCTTCTCCATTCTGGTGCTGGCGTCGCCCACGGCGTCGTCGATGGCCGTCCTAAGCTCCTCATGAGTCGGGCCAGCCTCGCCCCCGCCAGAGTTCACAGAGTCGTTCGAAGACATGTGTGTATACCGCACTAGACTATGACGTTAACGCCACAAGAACTCTAGAGTGTTGATTGGCCCCAAGCCGAGTGCTGCTGGATGAGCACGGCTGTCCCGTTTGACAATGTGAAGAGATGGTAAAGTCGTTTTATTGGTCGTCCTCGTAGACACAAGCAACGGAAGAGAGTGGGCACTCAGGTGCATCACAAACACCGAGGCACGCGAGCAACAGTCGCAAGACGCATTCGGAACTCGGAATACATGACAGCAAGGAATGCGCGACAACTTGCCAAAGATCCTACTACCGGAGATACCCCGAAGATCCAAATGACCGATGGACGGTCACGCACTTGCGCACCTGCATAGCTCAAAACCACACATGAGTACTACCGCAGTAGCCTTCGTAAGGATGGCATAATCCACCTCACGAACAGTATCTGCTCTTCAAAAATCCACGAAACGCGCATATCTCAGTTTCCAAAATTATCATCTCCAATACGAAACTACCATCGCCATAGTCGGTTGAATTGCCTGGGGTGATGTATATATAGGTCTAGCCATGCACAAAGGTGCTTGAAGCGTTTCAAAATCGGGCTTCAAAAGTTCCTGCTTGTAGCTCACCGATCTCGGTGATGAAAGGAGCCTTTGGAAAATTGGGGACAGCGAGTCTGTAGGGTATCACAAGGGCTAGAATCTCAGATACTGACATCGTACACGATGGGGGGTCAACGGACGGTTAATTCGCGGTGGTAGTTTAGACCTGGAGTTAGACATTGGAAAACTGAGATATGCAGCGTTTCCTGGATTTTTGAAGAGGAGATACTGCGAACTCCACCGCGGCCTGAAGGCACTTGGCCACATGTTGCCCGTACGTGGCACACAACAGTAGTGTATCTCGTGCTCTGCGTCGTTCTTTGAATGCCCAGGCTGTTTTTCTGGCTGGTCAAACGTCGCTCGCGTGGTCTGGTGATTGTTTCCGTGCTGCTCGCAGTTAACCCCGACCAACCTGGAGAAGGAAAGCTCTCACAGGGAGACCACGATGCGTCCCCCAGCAGGGAGGGTATCGAGTCTTCTGAGAAAGGACAGACACACATAAGCTCTGAACAGCGAAGCGGGGGAACCGGTGCGGAGTCTGAAGAAAAAGAAACCCATGACGCTGGCACTTCAACTAGGGTGGGAGCATCCTGCTCTTCAGATGGAGGAGGCCGCGCTCCCATCGCTTCTGCAGGAGCGGCGGCTCCCCCGCTGCAACGTCAGATGTCCAACTACGGGGTTCAAACTGACGAAGAAGTACGCGAGCTTGAGAATATGATCAAGGCCATCGCGCCAACTCCTCGCAAGGCGAAGCGCGTGTACAACATGTACGTCAATAGTGAGAAGGAGTTGGGGGTATTTGTCTTGCGGCATCGAACCGTTGGCCGGTTGCCTCCGATGGTGGTTCTAGCCTCGACCCTGATCCAGCTTCCGATTCGCCTCGATCTGCGCTTGAAAGTTTACCGCTGCTGTTTGTCGTTGAGCACAGGTACAGCATCCAACGCGCACTAGCACGGAGGAGAGCGGACAAAAACAACGGCTTCAAGTTCACTCGCGATAGGGCCCGCAAGCTTCTTCGTTGGACCATTCTCTCGGAGTTCTGGTGAGTAACATGTTGCTTGGGGCAAGAACTGCGGTGTTCCTCTGTCAGATGGCCTGTTTGTCGGCACGGAAACTCTTGCCTATGACATGCGATCTGTATACCATCGACGGAACTCTGTTTTGGTGGTCCATCGGCGACAGCGCACCCTGTCCACGGCCTTTGACCTTGATTGGCATCTCCCAGTAACCAACCGGGTGAAGTACGACACTGTTTCGTCTGAGAGTTCCTTGCGGGTTCCCAGCCGCCCTCTACGACTATTATATTGCTCTCTATCGTGGCACAACTAAATTGTCCATGTGCCACCTACTAACCTCCCCGCCGGTGATCCGTGATGCCTCGCAGGCCGTTCCATACGGCGTGCCTCGTTGCGGTGGCGAAGAAGAGCAAGGAAACGGGCACCCTCGCCAACTTGTACGAAACAAAGGGAGCGAAATTCCTTTCCGACATGCTGACGGACAAGCGGTCCTCGGACGGGGACCAAGCGTCCATGACGGACGCCAACACCTCCTTCAGGGCTGAAGCAAGGAGGCTAATGGGCTTCGAAGAGTCCGACGAGGCCTTCGTGCGGGTTTTGGGGTTCGCGCCGGACCTCTTGGTCGAGGACTTCGATGAAGACAAGCTGATGCTGTTGCGCCACTCCTTCAACCTCAATCCCGCGATGGTGGCAAGGGTCGTTGCCTGGGATAGGGCGCGTTGGTGAAGCCGGGGTTTCCCTTGGAAGGGGGGTTAGTCGCTGGGTACTGGGGGGTGTTTTGATGTAAACGCGTGCCGTAGTCGATAGACCGCGCATCCGAACAATGCCAGGACGGAGCGATAGGCCGGGGTCTCGCTGGCCCAGGCTACGTTTCACAAGGATGAACCAGAAGCTGGTCGTCCTCCTTGCTTTTGCCGTGGCACCCAGATATACGATGGGTTGATTGGGCATCCCGGCTGACCAAACGTTTCACATTCGGGTAGGTGCAGCGTGAGGTGGCCCCCTGTGCTTGGGGATGTTCACTCTCTGGTTAACAAAATCATCCTCTCTTCATCACTTGGGGCCAACATTTCCGTGCTCGTAGCAGACGGAACCTGGCTGGAATTAGCCAACCGTTTTGGTGCCAATTTTCTGGGGCCGGTCGCGATTTTTGTCTCTTTGGCTTTCTCCTCGTAGTATACTGAATATAGTGTGTACCGTTTTGACCTGCCTGTGGCCACGGAAAGCGTCCGCGTCAGTTGGCCCGGTACTAGAGATGTTGGACGGTACTGAGCAGACTGGAACTTTGTATTGAGTGAAAACAACAACATCAACTAGCTCATGTTGCACAGCGATTCCGGTATCTGGCAGTACCAACGACATGTGTATGGCATTCACCGGTGGTGCTTCCCTGCGCCTTGTGAACCCCATGTCTGTTGGGAACAGAAACAAGAGAAGAACAGGGAACATGCCCCTCCCTCGTAGTGTCGTTCGCACGACACCAAACACGCAAGACAGATATTTTATAGAATGCGTGATCTGCACACTAGTACGTGGAAGACCAAAGTTCTAATGAAATGTATGACACACAATACCGACAGAGAAGGAAAACTCGTCCAGGTCCCGCCTGCCCAGAAACATCGTTCTGTACAGTATATTCTTATGTAAAAAAGCACATAGGAAGTATGTGCGTGGCGCGGAAGCCTGCTGCTGTACACCTACCAGACACGAAGCGAAAAATACGCAATTTTTGCACAGTCGAGTATGCACTACTACTACTGTAGTCAGACTAGAGAACCTCGAAATGGTGACAAAAACACGAAAATACTCGGCCAGCCCACCGTAGACCACCCTTCTGCAATCTACATCTTTTAACGAGGTGGTTCATCCTCATCCGTCTGGCAAAGAATCAAAGTACAGGAGATGATTGTACAAAAGCCTTCTTCACGGACGTTTGGAAGTCTAAGGCAGCGCTGGACTTAGTCTCCTTCGCAGTTTCCCCGTTGACTGACATACAAGAGAAACAAAATCGCCCTAAGCATTCGGCGTAAGATGTATGGAGGACCTATCCGAGGATGTGTATCAGGCACAACGATTTCCAGCAACTCGCCGCTCTCACCTACAGGATAAGTCAAGACGAAGATTACCCTCCCTCTATTCGATGGAAAACAGTAGAAAACCGCCAGCTACAGAACAATTTCATGCCCTCTGCGCGTGCCAAGGCCTCGTTCCATCCACAATATTACGGCACCTGGTAAATGCCTCACAACATGGACGGAGACGGGCCATACTGAAATAAAAAGTTACGCTTCCCTCAAAACCGGTACTTTTTGGAAAGAAAGACAGCAAAATGGAGGTTAGTCTACATTAGTCTATAGTGCTTGTGAACGAAAATAACCAAGAAGAAAACACAACACACAAAAATTAAAATGTACAGGGCACGCTTTTCCTCTAATAGTTCACGCCCAAGCCTATTCTTGTGGTCGTCGTTCTGCTCATAATGCACTGCACGTGCCCCCCCAAAACCTCTAGACTTGTTCAAGGAAAGATCGACCAAGAAATTTTCTCGCCAGGCAGGAAGAGCGGGCGGCTGTAGAGTGGGCCGCGGAGCAGCCGGGCCGCCCGAAAGCACCCCCCCGCCGATGGGGCTAGACAGTCCACTGCCGGGACCGGACGCTTCGCTCGCGGGACTCCGATTCCTAGCCGACCGCTGACCAACACTCCGGAGCTTCGGACGAGTCTGAACGCCGGGACTCGAGCCGGCTCACCCAGGTGTGCTCGTCGGCGCATCTGCACCCACCCCGGCCCTGGCGCTAACGCTGCGAGAAATTGTTTCAGCGAGCATGCGTCGGCTGATACGTTCAGAAAAGTATAATATATCGAGAGGTCTGTATAACTGGCGCCAGATGGGACGAACACTATGTACATAGGACACACGCACAACGTCAGCGCTAGTCTGTCGCGCTTGCTCGGAGCGCTTCAAGCTCGCCCGCCAAGATGAACAAGTTTGTTTCCTGTGGGCGTCTAGCCCAGCAGCCGTTCTTTGCTGCCACCGCGAATCGGGGAACCAACTAAGCACAGCATGGAGAGCTCACAGAACTATCAAAATATATATGTAGTTGTGGAACGGTTGACTCGAAACTATGTGTGGTAGGTAATGTACATATGGTTCCGTGTGAGATCCTTGGATAGATTGAAAGCGGACGTACTGGGCGGAGTCCGGAGTGGTTTTCCGCAGTGGACGACGACTACAATGATAATGACGACGAAGACGACAGCACCAACCACAGCAACATTGAGAAACTTTGTACTCCTTATCGGGTTGGTGCGGGTGTTATACCTCAAAAAGCCGACATCGTTACATCTAAACACGGCCGTGCTATGATCCTCGGTCCTTGGAGAACGTTCACCTAAGACAGGAAAAAAGGAAAAAGCTTCCATCCAACTCATCGCTGTGCGGTCTACGTTTCGCGCTTTTGCGACAGCATCATACACCCACGCATGAGCTACTACAACAATTCACCTCAATGCCTTACAACATCTTTGTTTGTTGTTGCTGCTGCTGCGCCACTCGCCTCTTCGACAGTGGCATCGCATCTGCCGCGACCCCGCTGGCGCCGCCGCCTCCCCCCTGCTTGGTAGAGGAGGCGGGGGGGGCGGCGGCGGCGGCGGCAGAAGAAGAAGAAGATCTGCCAACCACCCGGTTCGCGGCGAGGGCCTTAGGGGTGGCCTTGCCCGCGGCCGCGTAGGTGATTTCCTCGGGCCCAGTGGCGAGGCCGATCTTCTTCGTGCGGCAGCGACGAACGCGAACGTTCATCATCCAGTTGTTCACCTGTGTCGCGTTCACGGTGAGGTAGCGGCTACGTTCGGAGGGAAATCGCTGAAGAGAAAGTACGGACTCGCATCATCCAGTCGTTTACCTGTTCCGTGTATATGTATACCTGAACAGTAGCGGCTAACTTAAGGTTGAAGAGATACCGTACACCATCTCACTGCTTAGAGAAAGTGCGGACTCGCATCATCCAGTTGTTTGCCTGTGCCGCGTATACGGTACCAGTCTTATGATAAAACCGGACTTTAGAGCGTGTTTTTGGCTTGACCCGACCCTCTCTTAGCCGCCACTGTACACAGAATATGATTTCTTGTGAAACGCTGTGGAATAAAGATACGTACCGCCTAACCCTGACCCTATCCCTCTCCCTCTGCAAGGTGGTACGGGTCTACCGGATGTTGTTTCTGATTGTTGGCGGGACGAGCAAAACGAACAAACCTGCGTGACGGTGATGTGGCAATTCTGAGCGAGGTAGAGCTTCTGTTCCTCTGTGGGGTACGGATTCAGCCAGTGGTTGGCCAGCCATCCCTCCAAGATCTCCTTCGCCTGGGGGGTGAGGCGGTGGCGGCTGCCCTTGCGGTTGTTATACACCGGCCGGCGGGAGTCTGTCAGAGCGTCGGAGGGAGGTGTCTTCTTCAGCAGCCCTGATCTCTTCTTGGCCTGCGCGTTAGGGGTAGGGGCGAGGGTGAAAACACCGCTGAGAGGGGTGGGGGGGATCGATCGTAAAGCACGACAGAGGTAATGATAAGAGGGCTTACATACTTAACAGAGAAAGCGTTTGAGGGTACTGGGAACGAAAGGCGATGCTTCATGTCTCCAATGACGGTTTTCTTGAGTACGATGAGAAATACGGTCGTGTAGTTTTGTATCCGACGTCGTCCCGCTCATAGCCAAGGTTTAACCCTTGCGCACCCTAGACTTGGCGACAGAGCGAAAGTTTGGACACAACTAGGGGCTCCCTGAACTGTGGGGCAAAGAGAAAGGATTCCCTACTTCAACATTGGCGGGATAAAGGATGGGGAACGTTTTCGTATCTACTACGGCCAAGCGCAGAGCACCGTCCTATTGGCAGATCAACATCATCGGAGAATGGCCGTTATCGACAGTAAATATATTTATCATGCGGTCAATACGGCACGGCCGGCAGACGAGCGTCCAGACACGCTGTCAACAAACACGACTTAAAACATGCGTTTTGCGCTTTGTCTTCCATTCCTCTCTCGCACACGGTGGAAGAGGGCATGGCAACATGCGGTTGGATGGCGATCTCTCCCAGATATATGAGACACTCGGGCCGACAACCCCGTACCCCCCTACATACCTTGCCGACGTTGCTCGTCGCTCGCTTCCCGCCCCCGCCCCCATCAACACTGGCTCCCCCTCCCGTCGCCCCCCACGAGTCGCCGCCGAACCCCGCGCTGGGGTCAGAAAGCCCTCCGTGGTTGTGTCCAGGTGGTGCCACCGCGCCGCCCCCAGAACCAAAGCTGGCTCCCATGCCCTGCTGCTTCATGCCCCCCGCGCCTTCCATCCGGGTGCTTCCGAGGGCCATCCCGAGCTGAGAGTGGTGGTTTTGAGGGCGGTCACGCATCTGCGTGAGGGCGAACACGCTGGAGCGTCCCGTACCGGGAGGCATATGGTGCAGGATCGACTGCTGCTGCTGCTGCTGCTGCTGTTGCCGCTGTGGCTGCTGCTGTAGCTGCATCGACGTGAGGCATGACGAGCTAATTGAGTTGCTGCTGCTGCTGTTCATGCTCGAGGAAGTTGCTGCGTCTTCCCAGGTAGAAGCCAGCTGCAAACAATCGATCGACCACGACGGGGTAGCAAAAGCAAAGAGATTTGGGGGGTCAGATGGGCTAATGCTTGAGTGGTTGGCGTGGAGGGACTATGTTCGCCGGGACGAAAGTGCGGAACTAGAACAGCATGCATGGAACGAAGGCGGGGTAGCGCTACCCAACAGCTGAAGGTGTCATCAGTGAGCGGGTCGTTGCCGATGAATAACCTAGTCAACGGATTTGCACGCACACGGGCGGTGCGGTGTGCCGACCCTCCGCATAGGCGAATCTCGATAAATGGGGTATGCAGCAGCTGGAAGGAATTATATCCGACTTTTCTTCTTCGCACAAACGTCTTCCAACAGCAATTGTAGCTTCCCTCACGAACGAGCGACATACGAGCCTTTCATATCGGATTAGACTAGTGGGAGTCCACTCTCCTCTGCAATCACCGCTGCATGTCGACGCGGAGTTCGCTGAGAAAGCCCCGAAAAGAAACAAGACAACAGCTGCTTTGCCGTTCGAATGTTCGAACTCGTGACAAAGATGGACATGTCGGAGTCAATCCACCGCTGCGTTCGCGAAGTCCAAATTCAGCTCGGTGTTCGCTGTGCGTCGCGCGTGGGGAGAAGCTGTGGTGTGTGTCGTGCCAAAACAATACAAACCCGCGCTTGAGACGTTGCACACACCAGTCTGCTGTCCCGCTCAAGCCGGGCATACGAGGCAGGGTGTAGGCATGACATGCCAACCGAAGAAGCTCGAGCTGCAGACGATATCACGATACTCGCACGAATGCTTGCAACAGGCAACCCAAGACAACAAATCTGGGAAAAACGTCTCTCTCACCTGTTGCGATTCTGTCGCGGGAGACCCTAGCGCCGACGGAGGGAATGCCATGCCCATGCCCATGTCTACGCTCACGCCGCCCAGGCCTCCACCGCCGGTAGTCGAGAGCTCCCTCAACGTCGCCGTGCCCTCATCGAGCACACCGGAGAGCACGCGGTGGCAGTTGCGCCTCTCCGCGTTGATGACGCTCTGCTGCTGGGCCGGCGGCGCGCCCTCGCCGAGCGCGCGGACCCCTTCCACGGCCGTGTTGGTCTGCTCGAGCACCTTCAGCCTCAGCTGCCGCTCCACGGCTGTGCTGACGAGGCCTAGGCGCTTGCGCACGTACGCCGCGTTGGCGCCGCCAGAGGGATGCAACGGACCAATGGCCACTCCAACGGCCTCCGCCTGGAGCAGGCGGTGGCTCCTGAAGAGCATCAGTTCTTCGGGGGTAGCCTTGCGGCCACCGAAGGTGCCGTCGGCGACGGACCCCAAGCCGAACCCGAGAGGGTCGCTGTCGCCGCGGCCACTGGACAGGAAGAAGGACAACGGGTCAGAGTCATCGTGGGGGTATGGTTCTGGGAAGGAGAGTACTTGGGCGTCCGGCGGATAGGGTAGGGGTTGTTGCTGGTGTCCCATAAACAAGATCGGCGATGAGACTCTCCTGGGACCTTGCTGTCGCTGCTGTTCTTGCGCGCCACGCGTGGTGACGCAGAGGGATGCTTCGATGACGCCGCTGCTGCTGCTGTTGCTCGCGGTGCTGCTGCTGGCGACGGCGGCGGGGCTGTCGGTGCCGCCGCCCTCCCCGGAGGAGGCTTTAGACGGAAGAACCATTGCCCCGGAGGACGAGCTGCTCGCCGCGCTCCCGCTATCCATCCTCGGGCGCTCACGCGGCGACCTTGCGACCCGCCGCGCGAAGCCGATCACGACGAGCGACCGATGATGGTCCCGAGCGAGGAGACAGTTGATGAGAAAGAGGTCTGTCAGTAGATGGGCCGGTGAACTCTGATCTCGGCTGGAGCACGGGGGTGAGAGGACAGAGAGGGACAGAATGAGAGAGGTTAGGGGAAAAAATGATGTGTGAAAGCAAGAGACGTCTTCTCTTCGTGCATGTCTGTCGGGAAGCGCCCGCTTTTTCGCAAACAACATGAACTGATTCATGATTGGGCCGCATTTTTTTCCGTTGTGCGGCGTTTCGCGTCCGAGCGGTAACAAATTATCCCGCAGATGGGATAGGCCGCAAGTAGCACGTAGGGCGTGAGAGGGGGGTCCGCATATTGCAAAACAAAGGTAGGACTACTGTGACTCACACAGCACATCAGCTTTGGGGCTATCGAGCGCGGGTTGTGTTCCAGGAAGAGGTCTGCTTGCGCAGCTACGGATGAGAGTGGTCGGTTCCCTGTTGATGTTCTGCTCGTTGGCCCGTCCCAACCGAATCGGCGCCTTCTGCAGCAGGAATATTCCACGCCACAACAACAGGCAGCAGCAAGCTCAACACGGCAAGCTCAGCATGGCTGCTAGTGCTGCACCGATTGAACTCGAGCACGTGTCCGGCGATACCCTCGGGGGAAGCGGTATTACTCTCGTTCCTAAGGTGTGTGTGTTTTGGCATTGGTGCTTGAGCTACATATATCTCATGTGGGAAGAAACAGAAATGGAAAAGCGGCATATCTTCCCTACAGCAGCTGTAGTGACTGCTGTGTTGTTCTTGTCTTCTGTCTGGCGCACGTACGATAAGAAGGTACAAGGCACTTGCTCGCATCCCTGATGAGAAATACCAGGACACTTGCAGAGGCTTCAACATTTCCTTTCGACTGGGGTATTGTGAAAAGAGGGAGTCGTCCTCGACAGACGTTGGGGAGATTATGTACCCTTCGATTTGAAGGGGACCTCTACAACAACAAACAGCAGTACCTCTACTTGTAATGTTGGTGGAGACATGTGCTAGTGGTCTACAACATCAAAACAGGACATGCGCTTGCTGTATGCCTAAACAGCAGCTTTGCCGACAGCCTACGCCTACAGCAACGGTGACCCCTCAACAGTGCCGGTATGTACCCGCCAGGTTTACCGACACTACACCAAACACCGGCAATATCTCGCGCCATGTCCACAACATGTGTTGTGCGAGGATCAACATGTAGCATGCTGTTCATGTCGCACGTCTAATGGTCCGTCCGCTGTCTGTTCGTATCAATTACCTGCAGGATGGGGCCTACACGAACGTGGTTGTGTGGCTTCACGGCCTGGGAGATACGGTAAGTCGCGCCAGTCAGTACTGCTGTTCATCGTTGTCGTCGCTTTTGCTGTTGTTGTCGTCTTGACATGGGGCGAAAAGCACTCCAGGACCCAGTGTTTCGCCTTCTTGCGCCCTACCGCTTGTTATGTACGCCTCCCGCGAAAGTTGGCACACGGCAAGAATTTGCTGCTCATCCTCGGAGTGGCCGGATTTCCTTGATTATTGGGTCTCCGAAACGCTGCCATTGAGCTTCGTCAGTGCCAGCGTCCGATCCTTTCGACATTGTCCATCGTGTGAGAGACGCCAGCTCCCAATGCCGGTCGCCCCGGTGGTCTAGTTGGTAAATATATCCTCGAAACCTTCTAGAGGTCAGGTCAGGGGTTCGAATCCCGGCGTAAGCGAGCTTTTCTTGGGAAGTGAGTTTTTCTCTCGCTTCCGCTTCTGGCGTAGTGGATAGCGCTAGTTCGTGTGTTCACAGAGGGAAGAGAGTGCTGAACTCTTCTCGCATTAAAAATCGAAGGCAAAGTACCGCAGGAGGGGAGGGGCTCTTCTGTGTGCCCACGGGTTGGAGTAAACGACACTATTAATAAATAGTACTGTGAGCGCTGATTTGAAGTGAAGACAAAAAAAAAGAAGAAAAAAAAACGAGCGTGCGGGCGTGTGTACTCCCCTTTTCGCCACGTCGGTCGTCGCATTGTCAGCGTATCGATCCTAACACCATTGTAGCGAACTTCGATACGTCCGGAGGCCTTGTCAAGGGGTATGTTCGCCCGGGGGGGAGGGGGGGCACAGTACCCGGGTATATGACCGCCGTTTTCGCTTTCCCGGGTACCCGTATCCATATACCCGTCGGGTAAGGGGTCTTGCCCGTGCCGGCGGTCCATTCTTGATGAACAACCTGGCATATACCTACCGATCACCGGGCACCCGTTAGACAACTGGGGACAGTATCGGTCACAACAGATGTATGTCTCTTCAAACGGTTTCTGTTTCAGTCGAGTGCGAGAGAGGGGGATACGCAAGCAGAGGCCAGCAGGACGTGTCGTGGCAACAACAACAAAAACAACAACAACAACAACAACAGAACAATGACGGTGACGTTGCACGATGGTGTCGTTACCCCACGCTAGCATCAACCACGCGTTCTTACCTTGCAATGGCGTCGTTACCCTACGCAAGCACCAACCACGTTGTCCGGTATCCTCATTTTCTCGATGGCGTCGTTCTGCGCACAAGCAACAACCACGCCTCCTTATTCAGTTTAATTCCGCCGCTACATGCTCGCACGCAGGCGGCTGGATGGGCTAGTACGATGCCGCAGTTGAAGCTCCCCCACACCAAGTTCATTCTTCCGACCGCAGACACCAGGTGAGACGAGTGCTGTTTTGCCGTATATTGCATACGGAAGATATCACACCGCTTTGAACCGACTTTCGAAGCCCGAGCACTCTGCAGCACAAACAATGACGGTGCCGAGAATGGAGGCGTTGGAACCACCTCGTCGAGAGCTTTCCGGACACGCATCATATGGTTTTGGCATCCTCGTTGTAGTGGACTAATTGAGAGCTGAGAGCTTTGACACTCGGCTAAGAGGGTGTGGCATCCTATGCTCCTATGCAACCTTCGGCAGGCGAAGTCAAACCTTGCTTGGCCGATTTTTCCGTGCAGTACGTATCTCCAAGTCCTGGTTCTGGTTCGGAGTTTGTATGGTTCTGTTTCCTTGTTGGCTCTCTTTCGAGTGGGTACTGTAGAATGCTGTGTTCTGTTGGCGTGGCTTTTTTCCCAAACAAATCGCAACGAAGTCATATCTACCCACAGAGTAAAAGTCCGGCATGACGAAACAATGAGTTCGTTTGTTTTTTTTTCCGCCTCACTTGCTTTTCTTTTGTTTCTTGAAAAAATATCATGACGAAGCCATCCGGTAAATAATTAGCAACGAGTTCGTACCTTTTTTTTTTTTTTGGTCTGCAATGCAAGGCTCTCTGGACCGCGGCGTCTCGCCGCCGCGCCTCCCTCCACCCCGCAAGGAGAGAGGCTCGCCGGCGAGCTCTCCCTCCGCCCCCGAGTGTTAGCGGAATCACGTTGGCAATCTGGTTGATCCTGCCAGTAGCCATTCGCGTGGCCATGCATGTCGTCCAAGAATAGAAGCGAAGTTCTTCGCAACGAGTTCGCAACGTTTTTTTTCTTGTTATTTTTTGTCTGTTTTCTTGCGGCAGGCCAATCACCCTCAACGGCGGGTACGAGATGCCGGGATGGTCGGACATCTTTGGTCTCCAGGAGGACTCTCCCGAAGACGCAGTGGTACGCACATCATGCGAACCGACACCAAGAGATGAAATTTCTGAAAATATCACCCGCGCTTCAACTCGGTAGCTAGTTAAATGTGAACTTCATGCTACGCGGCTGAAATGGTGTGTGCGTCAGCGCTGATTCAAAGTGACAAGAAGAACAAAAATAGGGAGAGGGAGAAAGAGAGGGGGGTGGGTGGGGGGGAAGAGAGGGAGAGAACATGAGCAAGGTGCTTCACTTCACGGCAAGCACCACCATACCCCTACCAGGGTGCAAGTGTCATGCATGTTATCATCGAAACTACTTGGGTACCACCCTGGCAAAAGTTGGTAGAGCAGTGCACATCCGTATTTACTAAGAGTTTGGCAGTCATACATTTTCAAGTCAATAACCAATCGCCAAGGTCGGGAACACAGTATAAACACACCCACATCACAATTATGATTCCCTCCTTGCCTTCACCACGACTCTCTTCGCTAATACTCCTACATATTATGGGGGGTGTTTGATTTAATTAATTGGTTTTAGGTTTGGGGAATGTTTTTGGTTTTGGGCAGGCAATATTGACTTCATCCTTGGGCGGCCTGAGTTGCTGCGTGTGTTGTTGTTGTTGTTGTTGTTGTTTCTCACATTAGCTCTATAGTCCACAACAATGGGGAGCCCGTGGTCGCAAAACCCGGCACATACGACGCCGCAGGGAAACGAAACAAAAATTGGGTACAAACCACTCGGAAGAAAACGAAATGATAGAAAGAAAAGAACAGCTACCGCACCGACCGGTCGAGAAAAGGAGCCCTAGGAAACCGATCAAAATAAAACAAAACAAGATTAAAGATAAAAATGTGTGTGAGCGCTGTTTTAAAGTGATGAAAAAAAAATCTCAATACTTCGTACCCAACGCAAGAACTGGAGCACCGTTTGTGCGCCTTAGGAGAAGCTCTTCACTGAAGCCTATTTAGTGGCGATTTGTATTACACCACAGGAACTAAGAACCCCCGCCTCGATCAGAGGCTTTGAATTGCGGGCGACTTCTGTAGTGCACACAAGCCCTACGTACTTGTAGCGGTAATGGCTGAAGGAAGGTACACTAAGCGCATAATGTAAGAGATATGTTGGTATGACCGTGCGAAGGGACGCTAAGCGGATACCGGAGAAAGATACGGTGTTGTGGCTGCAGGAAGGTAGAAATTCTGGATTCCCGAGGAGTGTTTGGAACAGGGCGGTATTACGGGAAGGTTCTCAGTCAAGCGCCCCACGCTACCGGTATAGTCGCTGTTGGGTTTTCCATTCCATAGACCAACAACAAACGAGCCTCGGGGCAAAGTAAGAGGTTATTATCTTTTTATCGTGGCGCAATCGTTTTCGGCTAATCGGGAAGCAAAGGTTCCCTGGGTATAAGTCTGGACGGTCTTTCCATGAGAAGACAGCAGATGACGAGACCTTCCGCTCTGGACAAAAAATAATTCGAGCCGCAAACAATTTCTTGGGCGCAGGGGTTCAACGCCAGCGCCGATCGAGTCCGGGCCATCTTGGAAGCGGAAAAGGCCAAGGGGAAGGAGAGTACGCGAATGGTGGTCGGGGGATTTTCGCAGGGGGGTGCGGTGGCACTGCACTTCTGCCTTCGAGCCACGGAACCTCTAGCAGGTTCCCTCAGCGGCTGAGTTGTCGTAGGGTGCTTTTTTTTCAGTTGGGATTCGGTAGGTCGGGGTGTTGTTTGTTTGTTTTTTGTCCCAGGTGGTGTGGGGATTAGACGTGTACCCTTCTTTTTATCTAGGCCAGCGTCTTGGACTGATTTGACGAACTTTGGTGGGTGCAGTGTCGAATTGGCGCTTCAGGAGTTCACGTTCTGTCATCCGCGAACTCGCGAAAAAACCGTGGTGCACCTCTGATTGTCTTGCGAACGATTCCCGGATATCTCTTACACATGGTTGGCTGAATAACAACGCAGGTTGCGTGGCATGCAGCACCTGGATCCCTCTCAACAAGGACTACCCGACAGCCCTGGGCAGCGCATCCAAGGACATTCCCGTGGCCCAGTTTCACGGAACGCGGGACGAAGTGGTACAGTTCACGTGGGGCCAACATAGGCGAGTGGTACACAGCAGGATACGGTGAAGGAGGCGTTATTTTGTCTCTTTATCTCTAGCGGACCGTTTGTCCTGTATATGAAAGGAAGTCGCGATGCCCAGGGTGTCCCGACATCCTTATGAAGTTGTTGTTGTTGTATTCACATTAAATACCGTTCCGTTGTCTCTACCCAGAAGTGGCAGCGGCAAATACCGATCGCGGCGAGTACCGATCTTGGCGAATCCCGATCCGATATCTACCGTAGTCTGCTTTTGATACCACACCCCCTCGACCGATTTTCTAGGGTCAACTACCCTGCAGCAATCACAGCAGTGACGGCGCCGATACTGGCGGCCTTTGAACCGGCTGGTCTAGATTCTTCCCGAGACGCATCGTCTAACGTTGGCGTCTCCTTGGTCGTGGAGGAATTCGAGCTTTTTGCGAGATTCGGTCTGGGCGGGTGTGGTTTCTTACGTCATGCAACCTGCGGCACAGCGGTTAGCGCCCCCGCTTAAGAGAACTGAGCGTCGCACACTTCTATGCCTTAACAAAAGAACTTGAGCACCACTTCGTGATCTCGGTAAAGAACCCCTGTACTGAAACCTAGATAACTATGAGCCCCCTCCCCGGCTAAGAGTAAAGGTTCGTACGTGGAGGTTCTAACTGATGTATGCTATCTGATACATTCCCGTATGGTGTTCCACCCCCCCTTGTGCGTGTTCCCTGCGCTCCTCCTTTCAGTCACACCCTCATGAAGGAGAAGCTTGGCATGACTACCACATTCGAGGCGATAACTGGCATGGGACATTCATGTGCGATCTTGGTGCTACCGTCGTGTCGATGCTGTGTTTTTTGTCGCTGGTTGCTCTTGTTCCTTTGACTGGTGCTGCTGCTGCTGCTGCTGCTGGTGTTTTTGTTCCTGTTCCTGCTGCTGCTGTTGTTGTTGTTATTGTTGTTCATTGTTGCTGCTGCTGCTGTTGTTGTTATTGTTCCTTGTTGCTGCTGCTGCTGCAGATGCTGCTGGGTTTTTTGTGTTTCTTGTGACCACAAGGACGGTGTGTCATACCACATGCCTTGGACGGTACAAACGAGATACCTGCTCATGAATGTCGAACTATGTATCTCTCTCTGTGAACCTCCATACAATGAAAGAAAGACTATTGTACCCGTTCGGGATGCAGTCAACAACAAAAACGACCACTACAGCACCATCAACAACAACAACTTTCCCGTTTCCCCCTTGCACAATCGCTGCGCGCTTTCGACGTCTTAACCAAATGCCGGGTCCGTCCATGATCAGCGAGCAATGCTGAAATGGAGAGCGTTGCGGACTTCCTCAAGAGAGTGCTGCCGGACGGCCAATAGCCTGCCTGTTTTGGGGGGTCTTGGGCCAGGAGAGAAAGTAACCTGACATTTGGGGTCTCGGGGCTTGAAGAGGCGTTGTTGTGAGGTAATTTAGTGGAAGAATTTATTCTGCTGAACCAGGGACAACAGTAGTGATGTTGATGGAAAATGGTTGACAGTTGAGTGGTAAGGCTTGGATGCGCTGCAGGAAAGGACGTCTTCTGTTCGTGCCCTGATGGAGGCTATTCGGCTCGAGAGGCAAGAAGACCGCCGTATCATACCGTAGGTTGGAACTGCGAGCAGGCGGCCGATACTGACATGTAGCGAAAAAGAAAGCTGCGAGAAAAACAACGTTACGAACATGGGATGGCGAGAATACTCGGAAGGGTCTGAGGGTTGTCACACTACGTTGGCACATGTGCCAGATAGAGCACACGACTTGATAATTTTGTCTGGTACGTTAGAGGTGTCGAAAGAGGCCGTGAATATTTTACCGACGAGTTTCCATGTGTATCGCGTGCACACGGCTCTCTTTCCTTGACTCCCTGGTATGAGCTACATGTAGCCCCGGGGGAGAACTCCTACAGTAATGGTGCTCTTACCCGTGTTGTTTGGCGCTCAAGGACGACTCTATTCTCGGTTCGACCCTGTGGGTAACCATGCGCTACATCATATATGGCGGTACAGCCTTGTTGACCGTCCGTTTTTTGCGTACTTGGCCTTGCCAGCAGGCCGTTTGCAGGGCGGTGTCACTATGGAGATATCGTATGGATCTGATGTCGGCATTACACGGCACCTTGTTCCGTATTTTTGCTGTGTTGTGCACTTGTGTGCACTGCTGCGGAATTCTTCAAAATCTTGGAAGTTTTGAGCCAGGTGTATCCTTTATTTCCCTTGTTTTTTTAATTTTCTAGTTTTTCGAAGTGTGTGTACCCTTTTTGGGTAGTTGAATTGTGACTACGGAGGGTATCCGCGTCAGGTGGACCGCTACACTATGTAAGGACATTAGAAGGTACCCTTTGAGTACAGCAGTAAGACAACATCGCTGAGAACGCAGTAAGGAAGGCATCAACACGCTTTATCTCTGACTGGACGTGTTCCAAAAGCAATAGAAAAGCAATGTGTCTTTATGCTTATCATTAGCGTCGACCGCGCTAGCTGGCTGGCTACTGCGGAGACTCTCACCTCGGCAGACGTTGGCAAGGCTGACAAATAATGCTCATGTTATGGCTTCTCGAACATCGGGCAGATGGTTCCGCGAGACAGTCTCGGTTTTCCGTAGATGATATGTACCAAGTCTTACGTGCGTCTGTTTCGCTGTGTTGTACTCCTACCTTCCTCCAGTGCGACCCCGGCTGAAGCCTCAGCCATATACCGAAAGGAGTGGGGTGGTGGCGTCCAGAACATATGATGTATAAGTGTGGGACGAACACACAACAAGGAAGCTTAAGAGTCTCCATCTGTTTAGAGAAAAGGGAGAGAGAGAGAGAGAGAGGTTGGTTGTGGGCAGACTACTACAGCAGTAGGTGCCGACAACACAGCGTACGCATCGCAACAACACTAGAACCCACACTCCGGTGCCCTTCTAGTTATGTTGACGTGCTGAACGTGGAATCGAAAACAACCACGATCGTTCTCTTCGACGCTCTTCGAGGTCGGCAAGCAGAGCTGGAAAAGTCAAGATTTCAAGATTGCAGATCTCCGGCGTGTGGGGGTCTGCGGTTGGGAGTTTGGCATACCCATTCTTTTTCGTAGATCTCGCAGAGGTCGAGCCACCCCCGGCCAGCACACATCACATATGTGACATCCAGCAGCAGACAAACGTCGTCAGCCAAGGATCGAACCGTGAGCCCGAGTCGAAGATGGGTAACGGGGCTAGCAACAAGTCTGGCCAGGCTTCTCCGAACACGATGGAGACGGAAGCATCGGACGCCGGCTCCCGCAGCGGCAGCAGTCCCAACAAAGGTTGCTCTCCTGCCCCAAAGGGCAAGTCCTCCGACGCCGCGGACAATCGCAACCGGACGCTAGACAAGAAGATGCTATTGAGCGCGCTCCAGGCGCAGGGGGAGTGCATCTCCGAGAGCGAGTTGAACAGCATCCTCCCCAACCATGACAACATCTTTGAGTGAGTCTAACAGCAGAGCAAAGCAATCATGTGGTTTGTTCTCACCCTGGTGCCAAATTTAACAGAAATTTTATTCCATAACGGCTCCCCGAGCCATCCGGTTCTTGTTGTAGAGAGTCAGCGGCAGCTGTTGGACGACGTTGCGCGCACCACTTTGAGTGGGTTTCGTGCTCTCTTGGCGTTCAGCAAGCCCTTTGACAAACGCGCCCCTGCTTTCTGAGGTGCACATCACCATGCTGCTCCATGGTGCCGCTCGATGTAGGTTCCGTTGCGCTCTTGCTCCTTGCCGTAGATGCTGCCGCCAACAGCCTTGAGCCGCTCGTCCCTGGAGGCTGTACGTACCGCTTGGTACTAGCTGATCCCTACGTCTAAACAACAACCTCAACACACTGCTATCGATTCCAGCATTTGCTGTAGATTGTACCTCCTTTAGCCTCTTCTCTGAAGCCAATAGTTGGAACTCGCTGATCCCTCCCTCCCCCTGCGTATTCATCCAACAACTCAGCACACTACTATTACTACTACTGCTGTAAGTATCATCCAGCATTTTACTATTTAGTACTACAGCAGTAAAATAGAGTCCTCCAGCATTTTTTGCTGTAGATTGTCTCTCCTTTAGCTCCTTCCCTGAAGGCACTACTTGGCACTCGCTGATCCCTCCCTCCCCCTGTATCTGTCCGAACAACAACAACTAGCTATCGATCCAGCAGTACATCACTGACCCGTCCCTCCCTTGCCTCCGTCCAACCAACAACACTGCTGCCGACCCAGCGCCCTCGACTACATCGCGGAGATGAACGCGGCGAGGAAGAGCGTCAAGGCGCATCCGCCTGGCCCCATCTCCCGCCGCCGGATCACCGCCAGGAGCAGCAGCAGCAGCGCCGCCGGCGGCGGCGGGGAAAACAGGCTTCAAGAAAATGTCCGTCCGCCCCTCCTCCCTTCCCCCGGCGGTACAACCACGAGCAACAAGCGTAAGATGATCACTCAGAAGAGGCCGCCCGCTCTGGAGGACGAGCGTCCCGCGAAGCGACCGACCGTTACAACGGCGGCGCCGGCGTTTTCCCTCTTGGGCGGCGGAAGCGGTAGCGGTTTGGCCTCACCCAAGCCTTTGGGGAACTTGTTTGCTGAGGTCATGCGCCGCCAGAAGCCAGCCGCCTCCGCGCCCGCTGCGCGGTTCTTCGAGCGCGACGATGCTGGTGCTGAGTCTACCGAAAGGTGCGAATGGGGGAAGGGGCGTGTGCTGTTGAAGACGCATGCCGTGTAGTCGTTTGGCCTCGTGTTCCTATAATGCCGGGACGGAGCGATATGCCGGGTTTTCGCTGGATCAGGCTCTTACATCACCAAGCGCGAAGCGCCGTGAGATATTCGGCGAGCGGGCGGGCTTACTCATGTAAACGCATGCCGTAGTCATTTGACGTTGCACCCCGCATCCCACCAATGCCGGGACGGAACGAAATGCCGGGTTTTCGCCGGCCCAGGTTGCGTTTCGCAAGTGATGAACCAGAAGCTGATCATCCCCCTTGCGTTTGCTTTGCCAAATTGGACATGGCATGGCTTGGTTGCGTCAAACGACCGGCCGCTGATGTAACGTCTGTTGACCGGAGAAGTTCCGAACACTGGACTCCGGCAGTCAAATGTCCGGTTTTTCAAGGTTCATCACTTAACGATGAAGAAAAGGCCATCGCAGTCGAATGGTGAATTTCCCGAAAGTTATCTACGAGCCGGTGCCAACGCTGACCTTTTCGTCATCGTCACTGCTGTTTATGGTGCAGAGAACATAGTCGAGGTTTGAAATCGGTCCAACAGTGCACTTAGGCTCTTACATCACCAAGCGCGAAGCACCGTGAGGTATTCGGCGAGCGGGAGTTATATTTCGATTGGTATCTTGACAATTATAGTTCACTTGGTGGCTCGTGTGCTTAGTTGGTAGACTACGTGTCAAACGTGTAGATGTTTGCACGGCTGAGACCGTGCGAAACAGCAGGGGCAGCATACCGTAGGTGACGGAAGATACCACACCCCCTGGACTCCTTTTCGAAGGCTTGTTTTCTCCACAGCAGAAAGAGTGGGTGTGCCGAGAATGTCGGCGTCGGAACCTCCCCTTCGAGAGCTTTCCGAAAACGACGTATCGTTTGACTTTTTTGCATGCTCTTCCAATCGATCCAGGGTAAGATGTTGAACGACAAGAAGCATTATACTGTAGAGAAATACACACACGAATGGTGTGTTTTTCCTTGGGGGAGGGGGATGTACCAGCCGTACAATGTACATAGGGAGTGATCGTGAACGGCTAACAGCCTTGTTCATTCATTATTTTACCTCTAGCAGATCCGAGGTTTTACGCAGAAATATTTTTACTCTTCGAACGCATCCCCGTCGCCGGCCTACTGCCGCCACTAACCCCCCCGCCCCCCGCCCCCCGCCGCGCCTCCGCCTTCCTGTGGGAACAACGCTCCATCCTCTCGAGGACGCGTGGTCAATGGTCTAAAACCTGAGGCATGAATACAGAACCTCCCCGCACTTGAGAAGCCGGGAGTCAAGAAATTGAGCCTAATAATTAGTAGCAATTTTTGAACTTGAGCACCATTTATGAGCTCGGAAAAGTTTTTGGAGTGCTTTGACCATCATCCTCCTTGGCTTTTCACTGCTACCATCATTCTCATCATCATGTGCACAAAACCTATATAGCGACCATTCGTAGCATGACCCTGGGAACTAAGCATCCCAGCCTCGGCCGAAACTATCAATAGAGGTTCGTAAGTGCGTGCGCGTTCTGTACTGTACACCCCCCCCCTCCCCCCCCTTTTTCTTCATTCCGACGTTTTTTTTTTTTTTAATGCTGCTGCAGCGAGGAGCGCCCGGGGCCCTCCGCCAGGCGCGTGGACAAGCCTCGGCCGCTGATGGCGTTGAAGCAAGGCTCTCCCCAGAGGCAGCAGCGGCCGGCCCTTGCCCTGTCCGTGGTCCTTCGAAAGGTACGCATCATGTTGATGATCCGTACCGCGACTTGACGGGTTTGTTTTTTGTATTGGACGTTTTTACAGCGGCCGGCCCTTGCCGTGTTCATGGTCCCCCGAAAGATACATACGCATCGTGAGTGACGATCCGTACCGCGACTTGACGCTTTTTTTTTTTGTACGGGACGTTTTTAACCCACTTTTTCGCAACGCACAGTTGGAACAGTTTTGGTTGTAAGTGTTTAGTTGTTGAGGCATAAAAATACCAGGAGTTTCTATGCATTGTTTATACATTTGATGTCAGAGGCCGTGCAGTGACCAGAGAGATCGTTCTTCAAAAGTGCTGGGATTGAAAACAAGGCTGAACGCTTCTCGCGATGAAAACAAAGGCGAGCACCGCGGCAAAGGTGGAGAAATAACAAGGTCAATTCCTCGGCTACCTTCCCCCTGTGTGACCTCGTGCGGGTGCAATTTTTTCCGGATTTTGTTTTTCTGTGGAAGAGGTGAATTATTTGTTCGAAAATGCTGTTTTCTTTTAAGGAGGAACACGGTGAAGGTTGCAGAAGATGGACGCCCAGAATTTATGACATTGCAGCACACAACACAAACACTACGACTACCCGTAAGATGGGGAGAGGTGGCACCCCCCCCGCCCCAGACCGACTTTCAAAGCTCTATTGCTCCACAACCAAGATTGTCTGTACCGCACCGTATACCGTACCGTGGTATTACGTAAGAGGCGGAGAGATGGCACCCCCCCCCAGACCGACTTTCATAGCTCGATTGCTTCACAATCAAGGCGGTGCGGAAAGAACCCGGTACGTCTACGGAACGCTCTCAACGAGTTGTTTCCAAACCCACCATTTTGTCGTGGTTGCACAATCTTGGTTGTGGAACGATCGAGCTTTGCAGGTAGGACTAAGGGGGGTCCATCTCTCCGCCTCTTACGGAATACCACGGTACGGTATACGGTACGGTACAGACAATCTTGGTTGTGGAACGATCGAGCTTTGCACGTAGGTCTACGGGGGGTCCATCTCTCCGCCTCTTGCGGTACTCTCCTTGCGTGCAATGTCGCTTGCCCGGTGTTTTCGGGGCCCTGGTCACACACACGTCAGGCCCCTATCCGTCATTTAGGTGGTACGCATACGTAATGTTTGGTTGGGAATGGAACGTGGACGAAGAGGTAGGAAAGAGTACAGAAACAACTTGGGCGGGGCGTGGTAAAATAATTGTTTCCCACTCGATCAAGAAAAATAAAAGTCAAAGTATACAACACTTGCCAACAATCTGCATGTAAATGATGCGCGCAGGCAATAAATTATACACATGGTGCTTCAATTTTTCAACAACAGACCAACGGGCTGAACAATGAAACAGCTCAGGCCCGCAAAAATGACTTCGAGACACTTGTTCGTTCGTTTAACCACGTCGTTGACGCCGATTTGCAGCAGCAGCAGCAGCAGCAGTGGTAGAAGCTGCAAGTTTTCAACAAAAGACCAACGGCCTTATAAAAAACCAGCTCAGGCCCGCAATAATCACTCGAGGTATTTGTCGTTGTATCGTTCGTGTAACCACGTCGTTGATGCCGATTTGCAGCAGCAGCAACAGCAGCAGCAGCAGCAGCGGCGGCCTGAACGGAGCTCTTCCCCTACGGCCATGAGCGACACGCCGGCCAGCAGGAGGTTCGCCGTTCCGGAGGAGAGGTTTACCCTTGGCAAGATGGGGGCGTCCATGCTGAAGGGCGTGGATCGGTGGCCGGAGCGTACGCGAGAGCAGCAAGATGAAGCAGTCAGGTGGGGGCGGGGCATTGAACAGTCACATGCCCGTAGGTTACGGAAGGATAGCACACTTGTCTGCTACTGCTTTCCGTGCCGCCACGGTGTTCTAAACATTTTCCAGGAACGTTCGCACACAAAAGCACACGTACACAGGGGTGCCTCTCGTCCCCACTTCTTCGGGCAACCAAGTGCCGACACGGCAAACAGGAGGAAAGAGAGCGTACGTTTAAAGCACCACCCACCCACCCACCCACCCTCACAAGTGGTACAAGTGACGTTTATTTTCCAATAATTCAGCCGTATGCAAGGTCGCGTGAGATACCTCAACCGCTTGGCCGATAATCAAAGCTAGATTAACGCTGCAGCGAAACCAGCGCAAGTTGCGGGCATGGCGTCGCTGAACCGTCTCGTCGAGAGCTTTTCCGAGAATGTAGCCTTCGATTGTGGCATCCTCCTCCGTGCCGTGAAGAAATCGAGCTTTGAACATATCGGTTTAAAGGGGTATGGTATATTCCGTATGTATCCCACCGTAGTTCTCTGTGGGGATATTACAGCTGTATGTAGCGGCTACGGTTTTAATGGAGGGTCTGGGCAAGCTAAAACACTATTTTGACTCAAACGCTTCTTGTCCTAGCCGACTCTCATGGCGGGGACAAGCCACTCTTTCCCTTTTGCCCTCTAAACTCCGATTGTTGTCTAAATCCGAAAGTATACATCGTACTTCTATATGTTTTTCTCACTTTTATAGTACTCTCTTCGGATCCGTTTTACCTCTCATGCTCCGTGCTCTCGAGGACGCGTGGTCTTTGGTCTAACAATTAAGGCATGCAAAACATTTATACCCCCCTCCATGCGACTCGCCGAATACCTCACGGCGCTTCGCGCTTGGCGATGTGAGAGCCTGGTCCGGTGATAACCCGTCGTGCTCCCTCCCGGCTTTGTAGGGATGCGAGGTCAATTGGTCAAACGACTACGGTAAGCACGACGATGAGTACCCCCCCCCCCCCCTGCGAGGGTACCGAGGTTGTGTAGGATAACGCTTTGCGGAACCCCTTGAGGATCTCGATCTTCGCGTTTTCAACTCTCGGTTTTGAAGGGAGGCATTTCTACAAGTTCTCGGAACACAATGAGGGCATTCTAGCTTGTTTTTGACTCGACCCTCCATGGGCTGCTGCAGGCTTATCTTGAACGACCTGCGCCTGTCCCCCCTCGGGCTTGGACGCCGGGAGAAGTTCGAGTCTGAGCTCTCAGACCGCATCTACACGGCGATGGAATCTCTCTCCCAAGCGTTCAACGCTCAGGATGGGTGAGTGCCTGTTGATTTTGCTACTGCTGCTGCTGCTGCTGCTGCTGCTGGTGGTATTGGTGGTGGCGACCTTGCTACTGGGTGATTCGGTTCGAACAACAAGTGTAGAATATGACCCATCCCGTACTATGACAAAACCGCCCCGCTACCCATTCCGCACTAGGACCAAACGCCCCCCCTCCTCCCCCTCCCCTCGCCACGGGAAATGCTTGATGTTTTGTTCGTAAAAGCGCTATCACGGCAAGCCCGTACTTGGACCTACTGAGACCGCCCCGTAAATCATCCCGTACTAAGACCAAACGCCCCCCCCCCCCCCCCCCCCGCCAATTTTGCTGACTGTTTT